CCGTTCAGTCCGTTTGTATGGATCACCTGGTTGGTGTTCGCAGCTTTTTACAAAATTTATTTATTTCACGCCGTATGGTTCCAGGTTGATCAAAGATTGCAAAGCATCGACCGCTCAATGTCTAGTGCTCGAGGAGGGGGTGGTGGAAGAGAGAGGGAGCGTGTTCGATTGGCAATCCTTGAGGAAGCTGCAATTGTGTGTAAAGCTAACTCATCCCGATCTTTTTTTCGCTGACACTCTTACAGGTCTGTTCGACTCTAAGTTTTAGCGGCTCCAGTGTTTTTTCGAGGATGAAACGTGGATTTGATGTCGTCGTCATTGATGAAGCTGCTCAAGCTGTAAGCTAGCCGAGATTTTTCCGCGTGTAACAATGTATGTTTTATCAGGTTGAACCCTCGACTCTAGTACCTCTAACTCACGGTTGTAAGCAAGCGTTTCTGGTAAGTGATTCTGTATATCATAGCTTTATTTGTGGTTAATTTCTTAGTCCAGGTGGGAGATCCAATACAGTTACCAGCAACGGTGTTGTCCACCGAGGCAGTGAAGCACGGGTAAGTTCATTCTGTTCGATGACGCTTAAATTTTTTTTTTTTTTCTCTCGACCAGATATGGAACAAGTATGTTTAAACGTTTCCAAAAAGCTGGGTACCCCGTGCAAATGCTCAACACGCAATATCGCATGCATCCTCAAGTAAGCATTCGATCCGCTTTATGCATTGCCATTGTCTCACGCATATAAGCATTGTAGATTCGAGATTTCCCGTCCAAAGAATTCTACGGAGAAGCTCTGGAGGATGGTGCTGAAGTGGAGCAGCAAACTTCTCGAGCGTGGCATGAGTACTGCTGCTTTGGCCCGTTCGCTTTCTTTGACATTGAAGGCCGCGAAACTCAACCTCCGGGGAGCGGCTCCTACATAAACAGTGACGAGGCCGAGTTTGTGTTGGTCTTGTATCGCCATCTTATCGCGTTATATCCCGAGCTCAAGGGCGGGCCTCACGTCGCCGTGATCTCTCCTTACAAGCACCAAGTGACAACGTTACGTACCCGATTTGCCGAAGTTCTGGGAAAGGATGCCGCCCGACTTATCGACATCAACACTGTAGATGGTTTCCAGGTACTTATTTCTCATGCTCGCGGATGATATTGTTTTCTGTTTGTCTTTTACAGGGACGTGAGAAAGACATAGCTATATTCTCTTGTGTGCGAGCAAACAAGAGCAAAGGCATTGGCTTTGTGTCCGACTTTCGCCGAATGAACGTCGGTTTAACGAGAGCAAGAGCTTCAATGCTGGTATGTAGACTCTCTCTCTCGCTTTCATTTCCGTTTTTTTGTTCTTTTTGTTAACTAGGTGGTTGGATGCGCGGCTGCTTTGAGGCAAGACGAGCACTGGGGAAATCTCATCAAGCACGCGCAGCAGCGAAACAGGATGTTCAAGGTAGTTTATTTTATCTTTTTTTCTCTTTGTTCTCTGTTCTTGCTTACAAGAAAGTTTCCAACAGGTCCAAAAGCCTTACCACGCGTTGTTTAACGAGGCGAGCTTAGCAGCCACGAAGAAAATGTCCGATGGTCCTCTTCCAGTGCAAGAAGGCGACGCCATGGAAGTGGAAATGGAGCTTCCGTCTCACTACGATCTCGGTGAGGCCGAGCAGCAGGACGAGGCGGGCGATGGAGGCGATGGAGAGGAGTTTGGAGACTTCGGAAACGATGGCGAAGATTGAAAGCTGCATTTTTATGGTATATACTTTAAATTAATCATATGCTTAACTTCGTTTTTTCTTTTCTTACGCCATCTTTCTTACAGGTAAGTTTTCAACAGGTACCACGCACTGTTCACCGGGGTGCTTTGTTACCCCATCCGTGCTTAGGGTTATACGGGAAATGATTAATGAAATTATTTTGAGATATAAAGTTTTTGTATTTTTTATTCATGTATTTAATATATAAACCAATGTAGAACATTGTTTGATAACATATTTTACAATAATAAGTTTTATTGTATTAAAAAAAGAGATTGATAAATATTATATAAATTTAATTTAATTTACATTTTTTATGATTTGATATTCTAATACTTAAATCACCAAAATGATAATGAAGTACAGGAGTTCTCTTCAAATTCTTTAGCCACTTTAAATTCTATCTTATTTTATTTGCATAGAAAACATCACTAATCACTAAAATATCATATATTTGATTTAATAATATGTTTAAAGTGCTCTATTTATATTATCAAATGGCAAATGGGTTCTAGCTAATTTTTTTCATTCTCGCATAAAAAAACATATCTATTTTAATTATTATCTAAATATTTTTGCAACATACAGAATCTATGGTTTTACCTATAACTAATAATTATTAAGATTTTAAAAGTATTCATAATTTTGACAATAGAGAAATGTACTTTATATAAAACTATTTGCATATATAAATAATATTTTATTTTAATTTGTTATTCTTTCACTATAACTTAATATATTTACATTACAGAATGTACTATATTTCTTTAGTTATGTGTCAATCAGTTAATTGATTTAAAATAACATAAACCATATATGATAAAATACTTAAAAGTTTTTGAAAAAAAAAGATTTGTTTGACCATATGAATCAAATTTATCATTCAGAAACTATTTTGAAAATTGACTATTAAAAATTTGTAACCTTTGTTACATTAATATACAACATAAACACACTTTTTTCTTTTCCAAGTAAAATAAAATCTTGCTATAATTTATAATTGTTCATAGAGTTTTTTAAAATTTTCTATTTTGTTTTTGATAATTTAGATAATTAGTGAATGAATTTTTAGGCTTATTTTTAAATTATTCTATAAATTGACATAAAAGTTCCTAAAAATAACTTCTCTAATTGATATATTAGTTTTAACATTAGCTGAGAAACTAATCCAACTTAGTAATTCAAAACAAATTTATGTAAGTATTTCTTTGTCTCAGTAAACAAGCTGTACCGGCACAGCTATTGAGGCAAACCCTTGCTTAGCCTTGAATTCACATCATATGAGAAGCAAGCGTTGCTCTTCTTACCTTTGCAAGAGCAAGAAAAGCTGAGAGCACTCCCAGCTTGCCCAGTAAATCTAAACTCCCCAGCCTCCAAACCCACAACATACTTGCTCACAAACTCAGTCCAGATTTGTTTCACTTCAAAACGGACTCCCCAAATCTCCACTCTGCCCTTCTTCACCGCATTGAGCACGAGCACGTAAAGCTTGTCACCCCAGGCAGCTACATAGGCACCATCGCCAACTTTGTCATACAGATGCGAATACAAGAACTTGTTGCGTGTCAAGTCATACTGGAGGAGCCACTTGTGATCGTGCGAAGCGGTACAATACACTACACCGTCCAGCAGCGCCGGGATCGATCCGGGGGCACCGTCCCCTTTGGCAGGAATCCACGCCTCCTGGCCGCGAGCGAAGGTGTAGAGCGTGCCATCCGAGCACCACACCGCAACCTTGTAATCCCCGCGAGAAGAATTCGAAGCGGCAGCAAAGAGGCAGACCATGGACATGTCCCCGAATCGCAAGTAGGGGATCTCCTCCCACTTGCCCACGAAGGGATTCCCGACGAAGACCCTCCTCTCCTGCGAGGAGCGCGCCAAGACGAGGCGCTTGTCCTGCGATACGGCGCACAGCCAGTCGGGAACATCCCTCTCCACGTTTCCGAAGTGCGGCGGCGCCCATCACACCCTGTCCTGGATCGAATTAGAAGAACCGAGCGCTGTCCCTGTACGAGCTCCGGAATTCCACCACGGATCTCCACACCTGGCACACGCGTCGCGCCTTTAGAACGCCCGAGAACGACAGCCTGCGAAGGATTTCCCTGACGAGCTCCGGCATCAGGCTCGAAATCCCTGCCGTGCCCCGCCATGCCCTCCTGCTCGTCGCCATATCCAGGAAAACCTAGCCCTAGAATTTGAATTTTAAGCTCTAACTAAAGGTTCCACAAACCGTAACTTTAACCTAAAACTCAATAAGAACTTTAGGCCCTAAACGTTCCACAAACCATTAACTTTAACCTAAAATTTGTTAAGTCAAGAGCACAGACCAATTTTCACACACGGGACAAGATTATATTCATATGCGACTTATTTGTACAACCAATCCTCAATAGTGTGATGAAGAGCATAATGGATTGATTCGTTCACACTTTTACTTGGTGGGATTGTTGTTGCCACCGCCAGAGAGGGTCTCCTTGGCCTTCTCCATGGTTCCCTTCACCTGGTCTCCAACCTTGCAAAGAACAAATCACCAAAAATGTTAGTAGACATGTTGGAAGAACGAATGGAGACTTTAAACGAAATACCTGCTGCAAGACATTTCCGGTGTGGTCCTTGGCCTCGCCCGCCTTGGCTTGAGCTCCATGAGCAGCGTCACCGGTGCCCTGCTTGGTTTGACCCCATTTGTCTTGGGTCGCCTGGCCGGCCTCGTGGGTCTTCTCCTTGGTGGCACCAGCAGCCTCCTGTTCGTCACAAAATGGTGTCAAAGCCGATTACCAATTGAAATTCGGATCCATGAACGATCTAGAGGAACAATTGAAACTCCCGAGAGGCTTGAAAGGATTGCTCCATACAAAACAACTCTCGAGAGCTTCAGAGGATCCAGAGGAGCAACTGGAAGAGAGAGAGATTGACAAACCTGTGAGTGCTTTTGGGCCTCTCCAGTCTTTTGCTGCCCCGCGCCGGTGGCCTCGTTCCACTTCTGTCCGGCGGTGTCCTTGAGCTCCTGGGCCTTTTCAGATGCCATTGCCGAAGATCGGACTACGAAAAAACGATTCGGAGAATGAGAGAAATCCAAACAACTGGTGTGAAGAACGCTCTGAGAACTTGATGAGAATGCGGGAGCAAGGAGCTCCAATTTATACTTGGCGAATATGGTTAAGTGTGGCCTACGTGTTGATTGTGCATGGCGTCCAGCATTTTGGACACGTGTTACGCTGTCCGGGGAATGAAGATAGCTGTCGCCACGCGTTAGAAGTCCAGCGCTTTTCGAGTTTAGTATTACATGTTTTAAGATCATATTGCCCAACTAAAGCAATAAGATCGAAGTAGTAAACTTTACAGCTATTAAGCTAGGAATCACTTTCTCATTTCCACTTTCTCATTTCTTGGCAGAGCAAAGGCTACAAACAACGACCGAACGAACGAAAAAACTTTTTGCTTTTAAAACCTCTCCATCCAATTCTGAGTAACCAATCCCAGTGACAATCGTTCGCGGATAGGATACGGCACCGACAATCCAGTTCCTATCAAAGCAAAACAAGAATCATCAAGAACAAGAAAAAAAAAAAAGCGAGATGAAGATAAAGATCGGGAGAGATAGCGGCGCTTACTCAGCCAGCAACTTGATTTGGAAGAGCTCCGCCGGTTGCATCGATCACCATCCTCTGCTTCTCGACCCTGCCTCCCATGTCCACCACCGACCTCATCCCTCCACGTCCAAACCGACCTCGCCTTCCACCACCACCACCGCCGCCACCGCCACCACCGCCACCACCGACGCCACCGCCGACGCCACCGCCACCACCACCACCGCCACCACCACCGCCACCGCCACTTCCCCAGTTGGAATTACTTCCATGCTCGGGTTTTCCGGATCGATGCTGCTGTTGGTGATGGTTTTGCTGCTGATGGTTCTGCTGGTTCTGCGGGTTCTGCTGCTGCTGGAGATGGTTTTGCTGCTGCTGATGCTGCTGGGGATTGTTTTGCTGCTGCTGCTGTGGTACTGGCTGATACTGAGACTTGTTATGGTGATGACCGCTCTCAGACGAGAATGGTCGCTCTCTATGCCCAAACCTGGAGCCAGCCGACTGTGGCCTCTGATGACCACCACCTCCAGCAGCAGCACCACCGCCACCACCGCCTTCCGCATGAACTGTTGCTTTGTCTTGCGGCTGAGGATGATGATCGTGGCCTTGCCTACCGCCGCCGCCGCCGCCGCCGCCGCCGTTTCCTGACTTCTGCTGATAAACCATGCCGTTGTCTCTATGCCTCTCGGACCTGTCGTGTCTCTCGGACCTTTCATGTCTCTCGGGCCTCTCGTGCCTCTCGTGCCTCTCGGACCTCTCGGACCTTTCGTGCCTCTCGGACCTCTCGTGCCGCTCTCGTTCCTTGTCGTGGGGACGAGAAGCCGGAGCCTGGTGCTGCTTGGAAGCCTGTGGCTGTGGCTGTGGCCCTGGTGGTGGCGGAGGCGGAGGCTGCTGCGGCTGGTCGAGAGTACTACGCACAGGCGCCCAGATCATATTCTCAGCTCCGTGCTGCTTGTCGCTAACTCGTACGTCCTGGGACTTGGACGATATCCTCTTTGGCTTCCTCGGAAGCCTTCTGCCACCATTCCCTTTTGTCGCGTTTCTTTCTTCGGCCGGAACCTCTTCCTGCGCGGCAGGACTCTGAACTCGGGCTTCTTGAGCTCGGCCATCTTGTCTCGGACTTTGGAGCCGGTTCTCTTGCTTCGGACTTTGGACCCGGGCATCTTGTCTCGGGCTTTGGGCTGCTCCGCCGTCTTGGACTACGTCATCTCGCCCATCTCGTACCGGAGTTTCCACGGCGTCTGTTTTCGGAGGCGGTGGAGTTTCAGCGGCATTCACGTTCACGTCTTTCTTGGACTGTCCTTTCGACCTCTCTTTTCTCGCTCTGCTTCCTTTGCCACCTCGCTTTCCATGCTCGGGCTTACTACTTACTCCTGAAGCCTTCGCTTCAACTGGAGTATCAGTGGTATCAGTAGGAGCGCCTGTTGAACGCCTATTAAGCTCCTCAAGCTTAGCCATTGCCTTTGCTTTCTGTTCTTTGATTCGTTCTTCCTCTTCTTTCTGAAGCTGTTCTGCTCTTTGAGCAGCAATCTCTTTCATCTTTGCACGCTGAAAGAAAAAAGACAAAACGAAATAAGTTTCACGTCATTAAAATAAAGGCCTGTAGGATACCTGAGCCTCGTAATCATAAACGTTCAAATCCGTCGCATGAAGCTTAGGCCTCCACTCCTTTTCGGACTCGTGGGCCGCAGCTGTCTTGGGCTTTGACTTGACACCATCTTTAAGCACCTGTTCGCCGTGCTTCTCGTCAACTATGGCAACAGGGCCCTTTCCAAGAACACCTGCGGTTGTTTCAGTAGGCTCGGATGGAGGAGCCACAGCCTCAGCTTTAATGATTTCTTCCTTTTTGTCAGCAATGCGAGGTGCGTCAACTGAGTCTCCATCCTCCTGCTTTTCCTTGATAGGCTGTGGCTTTTTTAGGATGGCCACGTCCGGAACTACTGGTTCAGCCTTGGGAGGATGCATCGTGGACCTCTTTGCATCGTTTGCAGCCTTGTTCACTGGTTCTCTCCTGAACTCCCCATTGTCTCCTTCTTTCATCTTTCCACCACCTCTGAACTCCGAATGAAAGCCTTCCCCATCCTTTTCAAAGACTGCATGGTTCGGCATATGACGGGGCCTTGGTCCCATTGGATGCCTGGGAAAATCAGGATGAAAACCGCCATATCCTCCTGGTCCTCCCCACATCATCATTTCTCTCTCATCCATGTTGTAACTTGGAGGATAGCCGTAGTACCCATCGTAATGCCCTGGAAACATTCCCGGGCCGAAACCAGGACGTTCCGGATTCATTGGCCTCATGAACGGTGGAGGACCATAGCCATCACCGGGCTGACCGTAGGAAGCTGGAGGGCTCGGACCAAACCTTTGATGAAGAAACTCTGGATTTGGGAACCTGGGAGGTCCGTATGGTCCACTTGGAGGCCAGTGGTCTTCGCCATCGGGTGGTGGCTCCCGACGCCAGCTATTCGACGGCATTCCATATCCTCCTTCCATACCAGGCCCGGGAGGCCCTCTGAAAGGACCCCGACCCCAGCCGTTGGCACCCTCCGGGTGGTCATTGAAGCGTGGACCTTGTCCAGGATAACCATCATCTATAGCAATCAATTTCCTTAGTAAGCAAGAAAATGTAGAAACACGCGTACCATACTGATGCGAAGGTGGTCTTTCTTCAGGACGTTCGTCTACGTGCTCAGGACGTTCTCCTGAATAACAGAATCAATCAGCAAACAAAGACACAAAACTTGATTACGCTTACGCTGCTGTGGTCGAAGATTTGGATTCTTTTCGGACCCAAGCGTAGGAAAATCTCCAGTCGTGAGAGTAAAACGGGACGGCTGAGGCACCTCGTCCTGCTGTAAGAATTATACGTGGATGGTGAGTAGCAAACGGTGTAGAAGCTACGAACCGATTTCCGTGATGCCGAAGGCCCCCATGGCTGCGGACCATTACGTGCGAGCTCAGAAGTCAGAAGAGACACTCGACCGTTCGGCCTCGCCTCGGCGCTCCGTGGGCGTGAATTCGAAGGCTGACTGCTAGCTTGTGTTCCTGAAGAAGTGGAAGGACGATTTGCAGGACCCCAGGCATTCTGTGGAGGAAGGTCTTGGTTCCCAGCTGAAGATGGACGAGCTAGCTCTTGTGGATGCCTACCCCCGGCAGACGCAGGTCGAAGCACACTAGACGAAGGATGCGCACCTCCCGCGGATGATGGTCTTGTGGAGCCAGCGGAAGATGGTCGTGTAGAGTTCGGCCCCCATGCTGATGCAGGCTTGGAACCCCATGCACCAGCACTCACAGGTGGCGATGATGGCTGTGAACCGTTACCACCACCCCAGTTGTTTGTCGAAGTCGGGGGAGAACGAGCAGCGTTACCCCACGTAACAGTTCCTCTACATTAAAAAAAGAGAAATTATTTATCAAGTCTAAAGCGAGACAAGAAAAAAAAAAACATCGCTACCTTGGCACTATCTCCACGTTCGGATCGAGTCCTCGATTTTCTAGCCTGTATCCAACATGACTTACTTAAGCCCGTTACTTGCTTTCAAAAACATACCTCTGGCTTGGAAGATTGACAGGCCTCGGCACCGGAATTTTGCCGAGCACTGTCATGCCCCTCCGAACTCCCCTGGAAGAATTCACAAAAAAATTCATTCGCCATCGTATCAAGAAACGCAAAAAGACTTACCTGCGCTCTGTGATCATGGCTTCCGAGTTGAGCGACTAGCAATTCAGTTTCTTTAAAGAGAAGACTTCCTGAAAGAAGAGCCGACTCAAAAGTCAAACAAACAAATTCACATACCAGACAACATGAATGTCACCCCAGGAGCGTTGGCTTACAGTAAAACTTCCACCATCGAGATTGAATCACAAAGCCCTAATAAAATCTATACCTCTGGAAAGCCCGCACGGCGAGCAAAGAAACTATAAGCTACGGGCACCTCAGAGGAAAAAAGGGAAGAAAAAAGAAGACGAAGAAACAAAAAAAAAACCTGTTCTTTCAATCTGCGGAAATGAGGAACTAGGGTAACGAGAAATGGGACCGCTGCTATACCCTACGGCCGATCGAATGTGAGAGATACAGACCAGGGGCGCGGCGATGGCTCTAGGGCGAGGAGACGGCGATGGCGCCGCGCTGAAAATCCACCGGCGATGGAAAAGAAAGGCCTGCCCTTCGTTTTACTGCTGGAGAGAGAAGAGAGAGAGAGAAAGGGGGAGATTAGGGCTACTGTGTTAAATTGTATTAAAGTTTTAAGTTAAAGGTGGGTTGTCGTGGTGTTCTTCCCCGCGCGGGGAGCCACTGCGCGGTGGAAGAAAAATATTTCGATGGTATGGTCGATTGGAGGCTGGGTCAAATGGACGCGGCGGCGGCCAAGCACGCGATCGGGATTCGCGAATCCAAGCTCTTGAGGTGATGCTGCTGTACGATCGCTGATATCATCGATCGATAATCGGGGTCTGATAATCCGAGCGATAGGAGGATCTCGCGGGAGCGCCAATGGATTGGGATTGGGAGCTGCGGAGCTGCTGCAATCGCCGGCAAGTCACATTTGTGGTGACGATCGGCGTCTTTGCCGTGGCGATTCTTGCGGTATTGTCGATCGAAAGGAAGGATTTTCTTCTTGTCTATAAGTTCTTGCTTGTTCTTCTTGTTTGCAGCTATGGCGGACGCCACTAGTGACACCATTCAAGCTCATCACCGTGTATCTTCACGAAGCGTCTCACGCGATTGCGTGTAAGCTCACTTGCGGCCATGTAAGCTCTCACGATCCTTTCCTAGCGTCACTTTCGTGCTCGCGATAGATGATCCAAGCTTTTCCTTCTTCCATGTTTTTTTTCTTTTCCCAGGTAGAAGGCATCGAAGTTAATCTCAACGAAGGGGGAGTGACTCGTACGCGAGGTGGAAGTCAATGGCTCATTCTTCCTGCCGGATGTAAGTTAAGTTCTTCCCAAGTTTCTCTGGTTTGATGGTCGTTTCACGCAGATCTCGGATCCTCGTTCTGGGGAATGGCATTTATTTTGATGGCCACGAATCGCATTGCTACTCGAGTCGCGGCAGCCATTCTCGGCGGCTCTCTCCTCTTCGTTCTCGTCATCTACGCAAAAAATGTAAGCTTTTCGGATGCTCCATAGCTCATTTTTTTCGTTCTTGCATGTCCAACTTGACTGGAGCAGTGGTTCCTTCGATTTCTCAGCCTCGGTAAAACCATTAGAATCTTTTGCTTCTCGACTGACACAAGCTTCGCAGGTTTTATCATTTTCCTGGCGATCATCTGGGTATTGCAAGAAACCACAAGCGTTCACCTTCTGCGATACGTGATTCTCTTCATTGGTAAGCGAGCTCAAGCTTGATCTAGTGGAGATATAACGCCTTGGAATCCTTTTTCCATCCAGGAGTTATGAACTGTATGTTCTCCGTTTACGGTACGTAGCGCTCGTATGTTTCGAAGGCTTCTGTGCGTGATCAATCTACATGATCTCCTCCAGATATCTACGACGATCTCATCTCGAGAAGAGTAAACACCAGCGACGCCGAGAAGTTCTCTGAAGTTTGCGTTTGCTGCCCGTGCAATGGGCTCGCTTGGGGAGTGATCTGGTAAGCTTTCCAAAGTTTCTAGATCGACGCCACCAAAAAAAATTCGTTTTTTTTTCTTCCCAGGGGATTTGTTTCGCTAGCGTTCTTGTGTGCTGCCATATACGTGGGCCTCGTCATCCAGTCGTGATCACGGGAGAACTCTTTCGCTGGCACATTCTTCGATTCTTTCTAATACTTAGGTTCTAGTGGATGCTGTTGTTTTGGTGTATGATAATTTTTTTTGTGTTTTGGAATATCGTCCGTATGACATGAGCAAAGGGAGGGAAGTAGGGTTTAACCTCAGCAGGACAAATCTCTTCCAGCTCGGTCTAGTGAGAGCTTCGCGCTTGGCGCTCGGGGCAGGGATTTAGGGCTCGCGTCGCGACGGCGCCCCCATGGATCAAAGATCGCCATGGCAGCCGCGGGAGGAGGGCGTCAACGAAATCTGCGCGCTGCTCCAGGAGGGCAAGCGGCCCAACGCCGACCAGGCGCGGATTTTCGAGCAGCTCCAGCGCTGCAGCCAGGTCCCGGATTTCAACAATTATCTCGTCTTCATCCTCTGCCGCAGCGAGGTAAGCGCGCTCCAATCCTCTTTTTTGCATGACTCTTTGCTTCGATTCTGCGCATTGCTAGGCAATGGCTTGGTTTTGCTCTTCTAGCGATCTCTATAGCTCCTCCCGAAATGCCGAGTGAATTCTTTGTGCCCTAAAACTTCTAAGCTCGAGTCTGTGTGCTGTGCTCATCGCCATTTTCTTTCTTTTTTTTTCTTCCCAGGGACAATCAGTGGTAGTCCGACAGAGCGCTGGATTGCTACTGAAAAACAACTTAAAATCGTCCTACAAGCGTCTCCCTGGCGTCTACCAGCAATATATCAAGTCGGAGCTTCTTCCTCGACTTGGATCTCCAAACAGGGAACTACGTGCCACCGTCGGGACCGTCGTGAGTGTGATCATCCAGGAAGGCCAGCTCCAGACGTGGCCCGAGTTGTTCCAAGGGATTCTAGAGTGCCTCGAGAGCAACGACTATAACCATATGGAAGGAGCGCTTGACGCATTGTCTAAGGTACTTCTAAGCTGCCACTGCCAATGTCATTGTTCTCTTTGTCTGTTTTCTCTTAGATTTGTGAGGATGCCGCCGATCAACTAGACCAAGTTGTCCCAGGACTAGCACAGAAACCATCTGATGTGTTTATTCCGCGGCTGCTGAAGTTCTTCTCGTCGTCTCACGTAACGCTAAGAAAGCTTGCGCTGGGCGCGGTGAACCAATTTATTAATTTCATGCCCCAGGTAAGAAGCGAGGTTATGTTTTCTTCTTCTTTCTGATCATACGCTGAGCTGTTTCAGGCACTCTTTGTTAACATGGATAACTACCTTCAAGGTCTTTTTACGCTTTCCAACGATCCTGCGCCTGAAGTGAGGAAATTGGTTAGTAGTTCCGTTTGCTTGTGATATTGAAACAGTGAGTGATAATTTCAGTTTTACATGCAAGGTGTGTGCGGCGCTCGTTCGGTTGTTGGAGATGGATGCAGAAATTCTCCGGGTAAGAATTGTTGACTCTGTTAAGTTGTGTATGCTAATATTTGTTGGCAGCCTCACATGAAAAGTGTAATTGAATATATGTTACAAGCAAACAATGATCCAGATCCAGAAGTAGCGCTAGGGTCATGTGAGTTCTGGTACGCTGCTGCATGGCTTTCGTGAGATACCTGAGGTGCTGTTTTTCGTAGGACGGCATTTTGTGAAGCACAGCTACCTTTGGAACTTTTAAGAGACGCCCTACCTCGACTAATTGGAGTATGCTGGATTTTCATTAGAAATTTGTGGTTTTGCTGATAGTTTTTTCCAGGTTCTTCTAACAAACATGATATACGCAGATGATGATGAAGCTCTGCTCGACTCTCAGGTATTTTGCACTTCCATTTATTTTATCTAACTTGCTCTTTCTTTCAGGACGATGAAAGCGTACCCGACTCGGAGCAGGTAGTGGATTTGAGGTTGGAATATATAATGTTTATTTTTTTGGATTGCAGAACTTAAAGCCTAGATTTCATCAATCACGAGTTCATGGAAATGAAACTGATGATGATGAGGTAGCTCTGATGAAGCATTCTGTTCTTTAAATTTATTTAATTGCGATCACTTTTTTGTAGGACACGGATGAAATTATAAGTTCGTGGAATTTGCGTAAGTGCAGTGCGGCTGGACTGGACACTCTATCGACATTATTTGGCGACGATATTTTACCTCTCCTCATGCCCCTAGTAGAGGTAAATGCATAAGTTCTAGAGCATGAATGCATTGCTTGTTTCTTTTGCATGTCAGGCAAGACTATCGAATTCGTCGGATGATAAATGGAAAGATCGCGAGGCAGCAGTTTTGGCTCTAGGAGCTGTTGCTCAAGGCTGTATAAATGGTCTCCTTCCACACCTTCCTCAGGTAACTTACCTTGTCTGGCTTCTATTAATTCTTACATTTTTATATTAGATGATTGCATTCCTTACACCACTTCTGGAAGACAAGCATCCTTTGGTCAGAGGGATCACCTGTTGGACACTGTCTCGTTATAGCAAATGGATAGTCCAGGCAGCAAGTGAAACAAATGGTCTCCAACAGTTCGATAGTGTTTTAACGGGACTACTTCGACAAGTCATTGGCACCAACAAACAAGTACAAGAAGCAGCCTGCTCCGCGTTTGCTACGCTTGAAGAAGTAAGCTTCTTTGTTACTGATCGAACTTAACTTCCACGCACTTCAGGAAGCGGCAGAAGAAGTTATTCTTCAACATCATCTTGAAGTCATTCTACAACATCTTATGTTTGCTTTTAGTAAATACCAGGTATACTATCTTATGTCTCCAATCACTAATGATACAAATTTTACAGCGCCGTAACCTACGAATTTTGTACGATGCCATCGGAACGCTAGCAGATGCAGTGGGTGGAGACCTTAATGAGGTTTGCTTCCCAGTTTTTCTAACACTTACAAAATCTACAACCTTTTCAGCCCAAGTATCTCAATATACTGATGCCACCATTGATAGCAAAATGGCAACAGCTCGCCGACAATGACAAAGATCTATTTCCACTTCTAGAATGTTTTACGTCCATCGCACAGGTATGTTTTTTTCTTTGGTTATCGTCGTTATTGGCCTAAATTTTCACATTGACGTAGGCATTAGGCTCTGGATTTGCGCAGTACGCAGAACCGATTTTTGCCAGATGTATTCGAGTTATTCGCACGCAGGAAGTTGCGAAGGTGAGCTTTTACGGTTTTGATTTTGTTTAACATGCGTTTTTGCAGGCGGATCCTGGAAGGGCCGGTGTGCAATATGACAAGGAATTCATTGTGTGCTCACTCGATCTACTTTCTGGTTTAGCTGAAGGTCTGGGAAGCAACATGGAGAGCTTGGTATGTTTATGTAATAAATTTGCATACATTCTGATGTCTGTTGTGGTCATAGGTTGTGAGAAGTGATCTCAGAGATCTCTTGTTTTATTGCTGCGGCGACGAAGCACCAGAAGTTCGTCAAAGTGCACTTGCGCTTTTGGGAGATCTTGCAAAGGTGTGCTAAAGAGTAATCGATTCTGATACTAATGATTTTTGGCAGGCTTGTGCTGGTCACCTCCAACCGAGGATGGGTGATTTCCTCAGTCTTGCAGCAAGGCAACTGGTATTCAATCTTTCGGCTGCATATGAGAAATACTTTGACTTGTTTTAAAGCAGGACGTTGAACATGTTTCTGTGTCTAACAATGCGTGCTGGGCGATAGGCGAAATTGCAATCAAGGTAACGACTATATATCATCATGAATTAGATTTCACGTCAAATGTTCTTTTGCAGGTTGGAAAAGAGATTGCTCCTATTGTGATGGGTGTCATCAGTTGCCTGGTGCCCATACTTTCGAGTGTTGAGGTACCTCCACTTCATTCTCTTTGTGGGCTTGGGTTCTAGCTGGAAGCTTGTGTTACCAGAACGTCAACAAATCGATGCTGGAGAACAGTGCGATTACCCTTGGAAGACTGGGTTGGGTTTGTCCCGAGCTCGTTGCTCCACACATTGATCACTTTATGAAGATTTGGTGCCAATCGTTAGCCATGTATGCTTTGAGTTGCAATGCGATCTTCACGCGCTCATGATGTTTGTGACACAGGGTCCGCGACGATATTGAAAAAGAGGACGCTTTCCGAGGACTTTGTGCAATGGTAACATTTTTTTTCCTTTTTGGCTTTCTAATGAGTTCTCATATGATGTTTTGTTGTCTTTATTTCCAGGTAAGGCTGAATCCCGGGGGTGCTGCAAAATACTTTGGGTCTATATGCGAAGCCATCGGTAGCTGGCATGTAAGTCTCGTGTTTCAGTGCAGCATGCTCTAGTGCTAACTTCAATGAACAGGAAATTCGAAGTGCCGAGCTACGCTCCGAGATAACACAAGTTCTACACGGATTCAAGCAGGTTTGATTGGAGAAAACTCTTGTAACTGTGGCGATGATGCCTGACACACAAACTCGAACGCAGATGCTTGGTGGATCCTGGGAGCAGTACTTCAGTTACCTCGATCCTGGCACCCAAGAAAAGCTTAAAAGAAGGTACGGCTTGTGACAAATCACGGCAAATCACAGGTTTCCACATTGATCTTTATTCTGCGGGGTCTGGAGTGAAAAAAGGCCTGGTTTTTGTGCTTCCACCTCCCACTCGTTTACGTTTTTTTAGCAGCTTTACGCAAAGAAAAAAAAGAGAGAGACAGCGAGAGAGATGTTTGAATAAGGAGAGACTACCAAAGCAAGCCTTTTTTTTTTTTTTTGAGTGGAGAAAGGGAGAGGAGAGAAGAGAAGAGCGGAGTTTTGTTTTGTAAAAAAGAAGCAAAGATTTATATAAGACACTAAAATTTTGGAGGGATGTCTTAGTTAGAGGTCCCACCGAGATTCGAACTCGGGCTCTTGGATTCAAAGTCCAATGTCGTAACCACTAGACTATGGGACCATTAGTCATGGTATGTCCATACTAGGTTTCTAGGGTTTATCCACTCTGTTTTAGGGTATGGGGATTTCTCGTATTGTGCTCCTCTTCGCGGCGATCTTTCTCTCGTCTCAATCTCAATGCGCGATCTCTAGTAGCAGCGCCAGGAACTTCCCTCTTCTTTTCGATCATCGCCATAGGTGGGTGTGCAATGTGCTGGATTTCGGCGCCGTGGCGGATGGAAAGACGATCGATACGTCGGCGATCCAGTCGGCGATCGACTACTGCGCCTGGAAGGCGCGCGCGTCGAGCCTGCATTTTCCTCCAGGGAAATATCTCACCGGAGCTTTGTTCCTCGCCTCCAATATGGCTGTGGTCATCGATCCCGGAGCGATTATCCTTGGCAGCTCCCGGCAGGAGGATTATCCGCGCGAGAGGTCGCGCTGGTATGTTCTAGCGGCCGAGAATGCCGTGAATGTGAGCGTCACAGGCGGGGGAATCATCGATGGCCGGGGGCTCGAGTTTGTTTCCAGGTTTTGGTCGCGCAAGAACGTTATGGTCAGCTGGAACACGACGGGTGCGTGCATTGGCGATGAATGCCGGCCTCGCTTGCTAGGATTCGTGAATTGCGAGAACGTTCGCGTGTGGAACATCCATCTAAGGCAGCCAGCGTACTGGAGGTATGCTCTACTTTGATACACTTTCATGCTTTCTTCCATGGTTTAATTCTTTCTAGAGTATATAGACTGGTAATTTTTTTCTTCCATGGTTTGATTCCTTGTAGAGAACTGGTATTTTCTAGTTTGATCAGCTTTCATGCTTTCTTCCATGGTTGATTCTTTCTAGTGTTTGATAACACTGGTATTTTCTAGTTTGATAAGCTTTCATGCTGTCGTCCATAGTTTGATTCTTTTTAGTTTTTGATAAAACTGGCTTTTACTAAATTCTTTGATTGTCTCGTGATTGTCTCAGCCTCCATGTTGCCAACTCGAGCGGGATTTACATCCATAATATCACCATGTATGGAGATTTTAACACGCCCAACAACGATGGCATCGACATAGATGGTTCCAACAACACGTACATCACAAACTGCCGCTTGGACACCGCCGACGATGGAATTGTTGTCAAGAGCATCGCGGGACCAGTATCTAATGTAAGCGTGACGAACTCCTGGATCAGAAGCAAATCTTGCGCGGTGAAGATCGGCAGCGAAACTGACCATGATCTTGATGGTCTTTACTTCGACAGCATCACTATCGTGGAGTCTCACAGAGGACTTGGAGTACAGTTACGTGACAAAGGTACGGCTTTTAAAAAACGTTATCCTCATCCTCACCTTTTAGCTCTCATTGCAGGGAATATTTTCAATGTAACATTCTCCAATATTGTACTAAGCACTCGCTTGTACGACCCTTTATGGTGGGGAAGAGCAGAACCAATCTATGTCACAGCTTGTCCTCGGAACCTCTCAACGAGTGTGGGCACGATCGACAGCGTCAGGTTTATCAACATTTCCTCTTCAGCAGAAAATGGTATTTTCTTGGCCGGCTCGGACGGAGGAGTGCTGAATAGATTGGAGCTTTCTAATGTTTCTGTGAGGCTGGGCAGGATCACGGACTACCCGGGCGGCCTCCACGATTATAGACCAGGTTGTCAAGGCCTCGTACATCATCGAACTGCCGGCGTTTTCATGAAGCACGTACATGAAGTTACTGTGAAGGACGTGAACTTGCACTGGGAAAGAAGTGGGGTGGAAGATTGGGATCTGCCTGTGGATTTCGAGCCAAGGACTATCGGACGCCTCTGGATGAGTAACTTCACATCCAGCGCATAGCCAGCAGACGTCAGCTGGCATCACATTCTTCTGCCGGCCGAGCTGTTTGTGAAATAGCTTTGTTACAAGTAAGCTGCCTTTCTGTTCGGTCTCTTTCCTTACGTGACTTCTTGTTTTTCTCAGCATACGTATGCTATATATCGTGCGCACGAAAGTCACTCTGAAAGACAATTTCTTTAATTGTAACTCGTGAGCGGGGGTCGTTGGAACAACCCCGTCGAGGGAACGATCATATCCTCAACTTCGGAAAGCGTAGAGTGGACGAGAAGCAAGCACTAGCAGACGGTGGGGTCCAAGTTTCTCAGGAATATCAGAGAAAAGCTATTACCCCACCCAGAATTCGACCTTTCAACCAAGGTACATAGATTCCCTGAACACTTTGATTGATTACTAAAAAAGAATCAGTCTTTATCGATTCCAGAGCACTCTTCCGCGTTGTCTGGATTTTTCCTCGAGACCCCGGTAATTTTCCTTACTACGACTATACAGTTTCATCATTCTCTTAAATCTCAGTTCTGGCTATACCTAGTTGACGCGCCGACACAGTGTGATCCCGTCGCTTATCGGGACCTGGGTGATTTCGATACGCGAGTCGGCAGCGAGAGCCTTGTTCACCTCGATGACGAAGTCCTTGTAGTATTTGACGTACTTGGGCATAGGCTCGTCCTCTTCGGCAACCACTGAGCCGTTCCACAGGGTGTTATCGTAGCCGATCACGCCTCCGACTTTAACCAAAGAGATCAACCTCTTGTGGTAGTTCAAGTAATTGTCCTTGTCAGCATCCACAAAGATGAAGTCGAACGCGCCATGATTCGCCTCCTGCGAGGAAAGTGTCAGCATTGTCGTTGGTTCAAGGTAAGATAAAGAAAAGTTGTATTGAAAGCTTACGTCTTTGAGCATCTCGTCCAGAGCTGCGAGGGCGGGTCCTTCCCTGAAATCGATCTTGTGAGCCACGCCGGCTTCCACCATGTACGGGTAGCCGAGCTCAAAATTCTTCCTGTTGATGTCCATGGCTAGCACCTGTGCATCCGCGTCAGCACAGGTATGGCTGGTTATACTTTCTAAGATTTTACCGTTCCATCTTCCGGCAGAGCCAGAGCCGTGCTGAGAAGAGAGTAACCAGTGTAGACTCCAATCTCCATTGTCTTCTTGGCGTTCATCATCTTGAGCAAGAACATGAGGAACTGGCCCTCGTCCGGCGAAGTGGTCATCAAATTCCTGCAAAATGGGGGAAGCTCCGGACGTGAGAAGGGCGAAGACTTTGAATATCGAAGAACAGATATCTCGAATCTCGATCTATCTAGAGGTACGGATGAGCTTCATGTGGTATTTACCATGGATGGTGGGCTGTCATCTCTCGCAGTCCTTTCAAAGGAGCCGGCTCCCGGGGATAGACGCTGGTGTCAAGGATGTACTGCACGGAGATACCAAAAAAGAAGTAAGAATGCTGCTGGCTTGCTCGTTTTTCGCTCGCTCGATCGATCGCTAACCATCTAAAACTTTGGCCAGGTACCTGATACAACTTGTCGCTCTTGAGGACGCTCTTGTGCCCGACTTGCGAGTGCTTGCCGGCCTTGTTGGCATTGTCGCTCGAAACTTCCACACTGCTCACGACAGCGGCAACATCGACTCCTCCCATCCTTCTGGAATTCGAACAGCAGAGAGCTTTAGCGATTGGGGAATCGATCAGTGCAATCTGGCTTTCTTCCCACCTTGAGCGAGCGGCTTCTCGACTCGAAGAGAAGAGATGGACTGGAGAAGACTCGCGAAAATGGGGGTGAATGGGAGAAACAACGAAAGACCGCTGCTGGAGGAAACTAGCAAAAGAAGCCGCCTTTAATAGTGGCAGTGAAGGAGCACACAAACGCTGACGAGGACAACACAGACATTCACAAGTCGGAGTGAGAAGGTATGGCGAAACGTGGCAATCAAAGCTAAAAAACCGAAAACGAAAAAACAAATGAAGAAAAGTAAACATGAAAAAAACAAAAAACAATTACTAGAAATGCAAAAGAAAAAAGAAAAATGACAATTTAGCAATCCAACCAAGCGAGAGAAAATAATTAAAAAGTTGGCTCTACCAAACACACGCTCACCGATCGGTCAGGCTACCCGAAACGAAACCGGTCAAACATATTCAGCGCCGGGTCAACGCTCCAAACAAAGAGAAAGTCAAAGTTTACCGGACCACGTTTATTGACGTTTGGAAGCTAGTTCCCAGACCATATAGGGACCCGATCAATTCAAACACGCTGTGATCAACAAACAAACAGTGGTACACCATGAAAGATTGAGAAAACTTAAAAAACCTTTTAATCTGATGCGAATGAGCTGACCGGAAGGGTAGCTGGATTCTTAGTTGGGTCAAGTTTTCTAATCTTTTTTCAGTTCTTACTCTATTTTTCTGTATGTTACTTGATCGCATTGAGATCCTCGTCCACTAGAGTTTGGTTGTGAAGCCAAAACGTGTCTTGCGATTGATGAAAACGCCTGGACTTGCGTTGGAGTTCCCACAAGATTCCCGTCATTGCCGAGCAAGCGTGCGACTCTCCAACGTAGAGCCACAGGCACCGGACGCTCCGGCCGCGAGAGATCATCGCCTCGATCTCATAGTCTGAAAAAGAACTTTCTTTTGTATAGCGAGAGATCACCTGGAAACTTTCTATCTACCTGGAATGGAGCGAAGATAGTCCAGGAGCTGCTCGTCGGTTCGGCTGCTCGGCCACTTGATCGAGAATTTCCTGTAGTCCAGGACGTTCTGGAAAGGGAGCTCGATTCTGTCGGAGAGAATCACTGGAACGCACTCCTGGTTTTTGAATAGAAAGAATCCCAGAAGATCAGGTCGCTTTAGAAGATACTAAACCGAAACGCACCACAAAAAAGGACTCGAAGAAGCGCAGCGTCCATGACGACTCTCCACGCGGTGACAAGCAAAACTTGGCATTGCGAAGGTGGCGGAAGTATTCCTTTCGCTCGAGCTTGGATGAGGCTGAGAATGTTAAGTCCGGCGCCTCTAGCTGAAAGAGAAGGAGTGGAATGAGAAACCATCTTATGGAGAGAGGCCTACCTCGTCGGGGTACAATTTCGCGAGCTTCAAAAGCTTGAGGCGTCCAGTTTTGTTCTGTGCACGTCCAAAGTAGTTAGCGAGGTAGTTCCTCTTGGCCAGAGGTAGCGGCTTGATAAACTGCTGTATGGCCGAGCCTTGGAGAAGTATGTCGTTGTCGATGTTGCCTGGGATAATCACGTCTTTCCAAGTGTTGAAAGCACTCGTTTCGCGCTTATCCGTTCTATCACCCTGTCTTTGAAGAAGTTGTTGTAAGTAAGCTCTCCTAGACCAGAAAAGGAAAAGGAGATCGGCACGTCACGTACTTCTGGAGTGAGAAAGATAGATCGATTCAGGTAGACTGGCCAGTGCTTGAAAATGTGAGCTCCAATTCCACTGTCAAACAAGAAAGAAATCCAAAACTCCCGTCAAAAAGAAACTCTTAGTCACCTGGGAAATACAAAGACGTGATCCCGACCACCGGAGCGGCGAAAGTATGGCATTTGAGTAACAATCTGGAACAAAAAATTGTCTTGTCAAGTCAAGTTCTCTCTCGAAATCCGGAGAAGAAAAAGAGAAGTATAGTACCTGCCTGTATGAACTTGAAATCAATCTCTTTGTCACTCAAACCACCCTTCATTCGCACGCACTTCACATACGTAGGAACAAAGAAAAAATCCGCGTCGTCTTTGTCGAGAGTCCTATACCTCGACTCCAGCAAAAGCTTGTGGATTTTCACCTGGAAAGAGTAAAAGCAAGCTTTTATTCTAGAACAAGAGAGGAAAAAAAATGGATGTAGTGTTCTTCCTTTTTTCTTTCCATACCTGTGTTCCATATTGACCTTTGAGACAATCTTCCGGAGAAATCTTGTTGTCACGGCCGGAAAGGAGTTCTTTCAGCCCTGGAACTTCCGATTCCTGGTAGACATAGATGCGTAGAGCCAGATGCGATCCATAGCCGAGCTCCGGCCACTCAAATTCGCCTACATTCTTCCTTCTTGCCTCACTGCTCGTCTCGCAGCGATCGCGAGCCTCGAACAAGAACAATCTCGTGCCTGCGAGCTCCAGAAGCTAAGATCTGGCCAATGAATGGAGGATCCTTCTTACACAAGACGCTGGCAACGACGACGCCCAGGTAGCGCACCGCCGAGGGCGAAGAACAAGCGGCACGCGACGAGCTCCCCATGCCCTAAAATTTTAAAAGTTCTAGGGTTTTTCATTCTCACGCTCTGCCTTTAGGGCTAGCGCGAAGGAATGGAGATTTCTCGCGGAGCTGCCGCCATCACAGATGCTCTCTCGCAGCGATCTCGCTCGCGCTCTCATGCCGCTGCCGATCTCGTCGCTCATCACCGCTCTAATTGCGCCGGCGATCTCTCCGCCGCTCACATTCACCCCGATCTTCCACTCCTCGGTCAGTACCATTGCGTTCCAGTTTTGCTCCGCCGCTAGCGGCCAGCACAGCGTCGGCACGCCCGCCGCCAGCGCCTCGAGCGTGGAATTCCATCCACAGTGCGTGAGGAACGCTCCCACGGAAGAATGCGGCAGTATGAGCTGCTGTGGCGCCCATTCCACGAGCAATCCTCGCCATCCTCCAGCGATCCTCGCCGCGAGCTCCTCGAAGAATCCTCCAGGTGCGTTGGTAGCAAAGTTTCTTCGCATCGCCCATAGAACTGGCTGACTGGTTTCTTCCACAGCGTCGGCGATCTTCGCGACCTCTTCCACCGCGAGGCCAAAGACGCTGCCAAACGCTATGTAGAGCACCGAGTGTGGAGCTTGTTTCTCCAGCCACTCCATGCACGCTGCGGCCTCGCGTTTGTAGCGATGGTTGACGATGGGCTTCTGTCGTATGAGAGGCCCGACTGGAAGGTACGAACGTAGAGTTTGCTGCCGTGCTCTCACCACTTCTATTTCCAGCTCCTCGATCGTGTTGACTAGAACGCAAACCGCCTGTGGAAGCCGCGCTATAGCCGCTGCTTGCATACGCGCGTCGATCGAGTCGTTTTGGTAGCAAACCGGGAGTTGGGTCGGGCGGAGTGGTGGAAGTCCGGGAATGAAAGTGATGAGCTTCTCATCGTCCTTGCAATCGCCATCTTCTGGAAAAAAAAAACGTAAGTTTCCTTATAGCGATGGTGTTCTTCGCTAACTTTTGCTCACCTTGGGCAGGAAGAACGTATCTTTCAACGATGAGTCGAGGGAGATAAGTAGCAATGACTTCGTTGGCCGCGTTGGAAGGCCACAAGGCGACTCGAGGAATGCCGAGAGAGTCGGCCAGATCTTGGGACCATCCCATGAATGCGCTCGAGATAAGCACCTGTGCCGGGGGTTCTAGAGCTTCCAGCGCTGGCTTGACGAAGTGGAGCATCTCCGGGGACATGAACATGTTGTTGTTGGGGATTTCTTCCTTCGGCATCGAGAAGAACACGAGGTGAAAGCTCTCGCCCTCTTGCTGCTCCTCGCTGGTGGGGATGTAGGGACAGTTTTCCGGAACCAGGAAGCTTACACTGAATCCGCAGTGGACAATTCGCCGGCATAGCTCGAGCATCGGGTTGACATGTCCGGCACCTCGGGATGGCAACACAGCAGCGTGAACTCGCGGCATTTGAAGAGTACCAGATCTGCTCAAAACTTGGCCACAGAAACAAGAGGTACGACTTTTTGTTACATGTTTACAGAAACAGTGATCTTGTTTTGGATGTTATAGGTGTGTTGTGGATGCTACAGCCAGGAGATACACTCCTTGGTGTGAGGAAGATGTTATCGTCCCAGCCACGCAGGAAACAGGGGTTGGGTGTTGTGACCGGTTGAACTTCGTGGATCGAAAGCCGAGAGGTAAGTCAGCCCGGACAAGCTTTGTAAACCTTGACAAGTTGTGTTTCGATTGAATTGCAGGGAATGGAAGCTACTTCCTTCGTGATGTGCACGTATCATTCATGCACATACCCTGAATTTGAGCTGCTCGCTCCTGCTCTCTCGATGTTCTTGACAGATTTATCAGGCAAGACGTTTCTCTTTGTTGCGCGGCACTCAACTCTTGAGGTTTTGTGTCCAGAGGAGGAGAGTAAGCTTTCATGCTCGAGCTAAGTTTTCTCAAACATTAGGAAAAGTTTCTCAAGCAAAGGTGCTGAGTTTCTTGATCAGGTGTTTGGAAAACTCCACAAACAAAATCACGTCTTTGTATAACACGCCATGGAAGCTATAGAAGGATAAGTTTCACCATTTAAGTGAATGAGCTTTCTCGGTCAACTAAAGTCAAAGTAGAAGTTATTACACAACTGCAACAAGGTGGTGGCGAGACTTTCCATCCTCGTGATGGATCAAACCAGCAGCGCAAAAGAATTGCAAAGGAATTTCTTATGAATCTAGTCATTGAGCACCAACAAGTGAGAATTAAAAATCTATGAGCCCCAGTTTCCTAGATCTTCGTGATAGTCCACTTGCCGTTGTCCCTGCAAGAGTCTCCCTCTCTCTTTCACAATCTGCATCGATCACCAGCTCTGCGCATCATGTCTCCTTGACTCGATTTGCTTGCGTTGATCCATCCTCAAGGAAGAGAAACCCTCAAGACAAAGAATACGTATATGAGAGAGAGAGAGAGACGATCCTTCCTCAAATAAAATAACAAAACCAAAAGCTTGCAAGGCTTGGAGACTGCATCCCATACAATAATGCAAAGGCCCCCAAAGCGTTTCCATGGGCCCGTCCTCTTTGCAGGAGGGCTTCAAGGACACCATTTGGAGGCGTGCATCTTCTTCGGCATGGTCTGTTTTAATGAAAGCTGTTCTTGGTACATGGAAACTCAAACACAAGCATGCCATGCCCATCTTATTTTAATTATTTAGACTTGTTTTTTTTTTTTTTTCCCCTCATTCATTCCTCAAGACAAAGTCGGAACTTGGAAGCTTTTAAATTCTTCTGTTCGTTATTTTTTATTTTTGTATTTTTCTTTCCGCAAATGACAAATTCTTATTACACTGATTAAGCTGTCTCCCTACCAACATTTTGAGCACTGGAGAAAGGGAAAGAGAAATTTATTTCTTTTTAGCATTTTCTTAAACATGCCACGTTTTGGTTGTCCCCTGCTGCGTGTCCGTGTCTGAGAGTGTGTAGCCGTGTCTGCTGAAAAACTTGGCCCCAAGTGAAAACTTGAAAATGCGAATGCCACCTGCCAAACAAAATGCTCGGATTTTTCGACAAAAAGCATCTAAAAACCATTCCCTCACAACAGCGCTTACGAAATGGGATGACGAAACCTCAACCCCCAAGTCATGCCAAAGAACAAGCTTTTTCTTTTTAAAAAATATAAACTTTAGTGGAATTATCACTTGGGAAATGAAATAGCAAATAGCAATATGAAGATGGTTTGACCACCTTTTCTTTTCCTGGGCAGGCTAGCTAGCCTTACTCCAAGCCAAGTGGTCCTTTTGTTCTTTCCTTTAACTTCTTCCTATCTGAGCAGATGTTAGCTTAAGACTGTACAAAGCACCACAGAAGGAAAGGGAAGGTCCTCATTGACAGTTATGGTGGTGGTGCCAGCCACCTTTTTTTTCTTGTACTCATCTTATCATTATCAGCACATAATTGTCCATGGTATGGTGGCTAAAGTTGTAATTATAAGCTGTATTTCTGGTATTTTATACTAAGCCAAGCTGAGATGCTTTTTAGGAGAGTGAGTTGCAAAAGTCACCAATGACCATTCAAACCCCTTCATGGAAAATGATTTCTGAGGCCAGAACAGCAGTAGCAGCGGCAGCAGCAAGCAGGACTGTGTTGGCAGGAAACAATTGCAGCTGATCGAGCAACACATAAAAGCACATTTCCTTCTCAAATTTCTCAAGAAGCTTACAGAGACTAAGAAGAAGTTCCAAAGAGGGGTCCAGTCCACATCCCCCAGCCATAGCCAGCTGCATTCTATTGTGCACTTATTCTTTTCTTTCTTTTTCCACCCTGATGAACTTCTGCAACCATATTTAAAAGGCATGGAAAACAAGGAATTTCAAAGCAAGAAGAAGGAACAGCAAGAAAAGAACAATGTGATGGTGATGTGTGATGGGGAGCTTTATATGAAGGTGCTGGGTGGTAGGGGGGAGTCCATTGTCAAGCTGATTCTACCCCAATTTCCCAGTTAGATACCCATTTTTCTTCACTCTTTTTGCTGATCAATTGCTACTCCCTCAAGCTTCTTCCATTGTCCCATTTCTCTACTGGATGAAAACTAGCCAGCAATGAGTGGGTGATTGTGTGTGAAAACTTTGTCACTTTGCTCTTCCAGCATATTCTTTCTTCTTCAGAAGCAGTGAAAGGAAAAACTTGCAGTGTTTTTTTATCATGATCATATACATATATAAGAGTATATGTATACGGGCTACCTGCATTTCTTAGAGAGTAGCCACAGGAATTCTTCTTGTATATAATTTCTCTTCTTTCTTATACTTGTTCCATGTACTGGAGATTGAGAGGTTCATTCAGTTCTTGCTTGAGTCTGAGATTGTCAACAATGAGCAAGAATTGAAAGGAGGAGAATTTGTGGGCATTTGGAGAGCTTCTGATTATAATGGATAGACAACAGCAGCAACAACATGGATTGCCTGTAGTGAACCACTTGTTGCAGCACACACTAAGGAGCATCTGCACGGAATCTCAGTGGGTCTATGCTGTTTTGTGGAGGATTCTTCCCAGGAACTACCCTCCACCCAAGTGAGCACACAGAATTTACCATATGAATGTTCTAACATGATATATGTATGATTGATACATATAGGTGGGACAATGAGTCTGGATTCTTGGATAGGTCAAAAGGCAACAAGAGAAATTGGTGAGGGCATTCTATGTTTGTTTGATCCAAGTCTGGGTCCTCATTCTTTGGTTTTTAGGATTTTGACTTGGGAGGATGGATTTTGCGATTTTGCTGCTTGTGTCAAGAGTTTCAAGCAGTCTTCTTCAGGAGACAGTGAAGCTGCCTCGGCCGAGCCACTGCAGCCCGAGCTCTTCTTCAAAATGTCTCACGAAGTTTACAGCTACGGAGAAGGGTACGTTCTTTCCAAGGAAAAAAAAAAATCAAATCACTTGCGGTTTTTTTTTTTCTTTTTTCGTTTTTCCAAACAGGTTGATGGGCAAAGTTGCCTCAGACAGCAGCCACAAGTGGATTTTTAGAGACCCGGCCGACCAAGATTCAAGCTTGGTGTCGCCATGGCATGGATCGCTAGACCCAGTAAGAAAAACGCTCGCGATAATCCTTACAAAAGTTTGGCTGTTTTTTCGTTTCAGCATCCAAGAACATGGGAAGCTCAATTCAAAGCTGGAATTCAGGTGATTTTTCCTTTCATTTCGCGGCATTTTTCATATGTTTTGGGCTCTTTCCAGACCATAGCCATTGTTGCAGTCCAAGAAGGCCTCTTGCAGCTTGGATCGTTAGACAAGGTAAATTTTCAATCTTCTTTCACAAACGATGAAGCTTTCGATCGATCGAGCTATGCAGGTTCTCGAAGATCTCAACTTGGTCATCCTCCTCCAGCGGAAATTCACTTACCTCCAAACCATTCCAGGAGTTTTCGCTCCTCATCCAAACACGCTAAATCACTCGATCCGTCCAAGAGTCCCGCTCCAATCCAGCGCCCTGAGATCAAGCAGCAGCAGCTATGGCGTCCTGGACGACTCCTTCATCGGCCTCACCGAGCAGCAGCGATTCAATCTCATGAGCCTCGGGGCTCGAACACCACCAGGATCTTACAACATTCAAGACCACCGATCGCTCGCGATGGATCCAAACAACACCACTCTCAAGCAACAGCAACAGCAAGATCACACCACGATCGTTCCATCGGTGGGTCTCAAACGAACGAGCTCCTCCTGCTCGGACACCAACGAAGATCAAGCCGCCATGATCGCCGGTAGCAGCAGCAGCAGCGGCCGCAAGATACCAGAGCGACCACCGCTCTCCAAATCGCTCAACACTGGCCACTCTTCCCCGGGAGTCGTCCCACACTTACACCCATCCATGTCCAGCCTCCACGCTCTCCTCTCCAAGCTCCCCTCTGTCTCGGATAACGCTCTAGTGCCGCCACCACAGCTGTCGCGAAGCTTGAGCGCCCCAGCTCCATATCAAATCCACTCGGACGATCTTCCAAAGGGCTACAACGTTCCCTCCTCCACGACCATCTCGAGCACCAAGAACACGATGCCAGGTACTTGAGCTGCGTTGCTAGACTATATATTCCATAGCCATCTTCCTCCCCCGATCTCGAATCGTTCGATTGTATAGGCAATCGATCGAGAAGAGAGATCGCGAGATCGAGAAGCTCGTCTCGTCTCGATCGATCGATACGGTGGTGGTCTCTAGATTGTTAATGGCGTTTGTTTTGTGTGTCATAGATGCTACTACCAAAGGAGGAGGCAGCCCATTAAGCGTGGCAAAGGACAGGCTCAGCGTCTACCTGGAAGCCTTCGAGAATGTCCCAGATTTTGGGATCCAGTGTGACATGGATCCATACCACTCCTTCTTAAGCGAGATTATTAACTGAAGATCAAATCAGATTAAACCAATATCTAACGGCTGGGATCTCCATGCGACTTGCTAAGCGCTGGTCTGTATCCAACGGCTGGGACGCACCATGTAAATTTAGGGGGTATATTCTTAGCGTAGCTATTTTTAGCAAGGTGCATGGCCTTGAAAAGCTCGGTGCCGCCACGAGTCGCAATCAGATATAGCGGCGACGTGGTTTATACACTAGGGTTGCACGACACCCCGTGAACGAAAGAAATGGCTATGGCGACGACACTGCGCTTGTTTGGGAAGAATATCGTTGTCCGTCCATCACCGCCACCGCCGCTATCACCACCGCCAACGACGATTTCTCCAGCTCCACCGCCGCTACCGACATCGCCACCGCGGCCACCGCCAACGACGATTTCTCCACCGCCGCCGCCGCCAAAAGCCGATGCGATCGAGCGAAAAGATACGGCGGAAAGAAAGCACTGGCACCGGTTCGGCGACACGGCGGAAGTCGATCGAAAGCCGCGGTCACGCGATCGAGAGGATGATCGACAGCGATCGGATCGAGAAAATCACCACCACCACCGCAAAGGCAGCGAGCGAAATAATCTCCAGCAGCAACGCGACGATCGAGATGGCGATTCTCGCCACCGGCAAGAATCGCTCCATCCCCGCCAAGATCGTCGGCCAGAGCGCCCGCATTATCCGCAAGAGAGGAAGGAAGGAGAAAAGGGCGGCAAGATCGACGAGGAGCTCTGGCATTACACCAGCTCCACCGGGAAGACGCAGGGCCCCTACAGCATCCACTTGCTCAAGAAGTGGCGATCGATGGACATCCTCACCGGCGCCATCCGCGTGTGGAGGCGCGGCGCGGCGCCCGCCACCGATTCCATCGACCTCGCCGCGCTCATCGATTACTACGACGAGGCTGGCAACGCTGGGATCCAGACCTGGATGTACGAGGACGCCAAGGGCGCGTTGCAAGGGCCGCGGTCGCTAGACGAGCTGCGCAGCCGGATTGCCAGGCTCCCCGAGGAGCTCAAGATCTGGAAGATCGGCCAGAGCCAGGAGCGCGTGCTGTTTAGAGATCTGGCGAAGATCGGTGACGATCGCGGCTCGAAATCTCCCCAGAGGCGACGATCGAGGGAGGAGGAGGAGGGGGAAGAAGCGGCCAGGAAGAGGGCAAGAAGGGAGAGGGAGGATAATCGCCATCACCATCACCACCATCGGGATCGCGATCGCGAGCGCGAGTGGAGGCCTCCGGGCGTGGCGTGCCGATTCTACGATAAAGGCTATTGCCGCAATGGGGCGAAATGCGCGTTCCTCCATCTAAGCCTAAGGTAACATAAACCCTAAACTAGGAGAAACCCTAAGCCTTCGATAATATTCCAAGGGCCATTTGTTTGATGGGCTTGACATAGTCAACTGCGAATAGTTGGACTAAGACTAGATGAAGCACGAGATTTCTCCACCGCGATGGATTTAAAAGGACTCGTGCTCCACACACGTAACACTCAAAAGAGTTGATTAATTGTTTCCGACGATGAAGTTCCTAGTGCTAATCTTTGCCGTGTTCGCGTGTTCTTCGGTGTTGTTGAGCTCCTCCGACGCTCTGGAGATCGGCTACTACAACAAGGTCTGCCCGCTCGCGGAAGCGATCGTCTCGGCCACCGTCTTTAAGCACTTCTTGCAAAACCGGACCGTCCCAGCGGCGCTCATCCGGCTGCATTTCCACGATTGTTTTGTGAGGGTAAAGTTCTTCTTGGCTCGGATCTTTGGATCATCAATGTTTATTTCTTTGGATCGTCACTCAATTGTTTGGCACCGACAACGTTCTAGCTAAATGACGTTATATGACTGTTCTTTGACAGGGGTGTGATGGATCGTTGTTGCTGGACGTTACACCCGGTGGCCAAGTTGTGGAGAAGGAAGCCCTCCCCAACAAAGGCTCCGTCCGAGGATTCGAGATCATCGACGAAGCCAAGGACGCCATCACCGCCGTGTGTGGAAACGTTGTGTCGTGCGCAGATGTCCTCGCCCTCTCGGCTCGGGACTCTTTCTTCCTGGTAAGTTTTGCAAGAACTCCTCGGTTAAAACTTTAAATTCTACTGTGGAGCAGACTAGTGGGCTCTATTATCAATTACCCACGGGGAGATTCGATGGAAGAACGTCGCTGGCGTCGGAGGCTATCCCAAACCTCCCGGCATTTACCCTCACTGCGGCGGAGCTCAAGGCTAACTTTGCTAGAAAGAAACTCAACACAAACGATCTCATCGTCCTCTCAGGTGAACTTAGTATGATCCGGGAGCCTTTCACTGAAAGATGTGGGCAATCTTCGCAGGAGGACACACTCTCGGACGAGCAACCTGTGCGGCATTCACCCACAGGCTCTACAATTTCCAGAACACGAGCCGCCCGGATCCAACTCTCAGCCAGGACTACTTGAGGATCTTGCGTGGGATTTGTCCCCAGTCCGGGAATCCCAGCCCGCGGGTCCAGCTCGACAAAGGCACCGAGTTTATCTTTGACAATAGCTACTACGCGGAAATTGTCAAAAACAATGGGCTGCTCCAGACGGATCAAGAGCTCCTGTTTGATCAGGAGACCAGCGCGACTATCCGTAGCTTTGCCAAGGATAATCTCAGCTTCTTGAAGCAATTCTCTCAGTCCATGATCAACATGGGGGCGATCGAGGTTAAAACTGCAAAGGATGGAGAGATCCGGAGGAAGTGTAATGTTCCAAACAGTGGGCGCATATCGAGCCATGCAACTGAGTAAAAAAATAAGTAAGAAGAATAAAGAGAAGAAAACAAGTCAAACTTTTTAAGTATTGGCATTTGTACCTTTATTTGACATTATTTACAACCTTTTTTAAAAAAAGAAATCAAGTAGATTCCAAAATCAAATCAATCAATTGACAAACTCACACCGACTGCGGATCTGTCCCTGCTTTTCAACGAGCACCTCAATCCGCCCCATCTTAGTCATGGATCGTGCAAACTGGGGCCTGAAGATCGAAGGCTTGGTAGATTGCTCCACCAGGAATCTCGACCTTCGAGTCTCTAGGAGTGCAGCATCGGACTGGAGCAACCCCTTGTTTTGCATGATAAACTTGTAGTAGTTCGTATCAAATCCTGTGAGAGTGTCATCCAGGGGAACCTTGGTGACAAGATCTCCATGCTTGCACTTGGTTCTAAGGTGGGCTGCATAGGCAGGATCTAGAGATGGATCTGCATCACCTTTCCCAGTGAAATTGTAGAGCCGGGCATCAAAAGCAGCACAGTGAGAAAAGCCAATAGTGTGTCCACCTGCAAGTCAAACGAGGAATTAAGAAGTGTAGGTGTGTATAGATGCTAATGTAAACGAAAAGTTGGTGAAGGTGAGATTTATCTTACCTGAGAGTGCCACAAGGTCAATTACATTCAACCCTTTTGCAGCAAAGATGGACTTGAGAGTTGTGAAATTGGCAAAGAAGGGTGGAAGATTTAGGAGAACGTCTGAAGCATTGGAGATAATACCATCTCTCCGGCCAGTTGGAACGTCCCAAGAAGGTCCATAGATCTGTGTGATTGGATCAAAAAAGTTTATTAGAAAACTATGAGAGATAGATAAGAAATAAAAAGCTTCTGTACCGTTTCTACTGAATCTCTAGCCGCGAGGGAGAGAATATCAGCACAAGATACTGTTTTGGGGCACGCTGCTTCAAGTGCAGCCTTTGCAGCATTGATCACTTCGAAACCTCTGAGTGACAAGTTTGGGAGTGCGTCTCTCTCGGCAATGCTTGTCTTGGTAGAGTTTAGTAGAATAGAGGCATCGCATCCCTGCATAAATCATCAAAAGAGTTGAGTTATAACCATGGGAAGAGAATCTAAATCACTAAGTTGTTAATCTTTGTTAACTCACCATTACGAAACAATCATGGAAGTGCATTCTCAAGAGTGATGCAGCCAGCGTTGGATCCCTTTTAACATATTGCCTCACAATCTTCTTGACAATCGCCTCCGCATTGACACATTTTCTTGTGCATTTGTAGTATCCCATCTTGAGAGGATGATATGATTGATAAGCAGTTGAAATCCAAACCAGTGCAAGCAGCAGTATTGCAATGAATCCAAGCCTTGGGAAGTTTGCCTCCATGATTCACACAAGAACTTCCCAAAAGCTGTGAATGAAGAACACCCTGAGAGACCAAGAAACCTCACCTAAAAGAAAGTGGTGGGATGACCACTTTGGGATCTAGGAAAGTGGACAGAGACTTTAAAGGGATGAAACGATGTCCTTACAAAACTTCCTAGTGACGAGCGTTCCACGCTCCCAACTTGGGAGCGATGTGCTATGTGCTCGCCAGGCTGACACACAAGAACGCCACCAACACCAACAACAACAATTTATCAAAGAAAATGGAGTATTGGCCTTCTAATCTCTCAAAGTCAAAGCCTCTTTTCCCGGAGCCACATCACACTACTCAAAACCAGTTGACTTGGTTTAGTAGTTCATGATATGGATACATATAAGTTGTTAATATGTTGTTAATAAAGTTTGTTTTCTATTTATTCATTGATGACCAAGTGATGAAACATTAGAGTAATAGTTGAGAAATGAGCTAAGCTGTGAGCGATTGCAGACGTGCTCACACGTCTTCTTTGGATGCAACCCTTCACCAGATAGATGGAAGTATTATATGAGTTTTTCTTGCGTGAAACTTGTCTTAGCTTCAAATGCGATTTGGAGATTGGATTGAGCCAAGCAATGGCAAACCATTTGATTTTTAAAATGGTCAATGTGATCATAAATGCTGTTTTGGTTCAAGAAATCACGAGGCGACTTGGTCAGCAGAGACACTATGCAGTTCTTAGATTTCTTGGGAGTTTTTTAAGTTTCGAGAAGAAACTTAGTCAGTACTAGGAGAATTTTAGCGTTTGAAAAAACTTAGGCTTGAGTATACACCAAGTTATAATTTGAAAGCGCGTGAGATTTGAAACAATCAGAGCCGTTGGATGGGAGCTAGAATATGCTAAGAATTTCTACTAGCGGATAAGAATATACCCCCTTATAAGCTTTCAAAAGCACCTGACAAAATAGGACGGGTTGGCGCGCAAAAATGACATCGATGGCTACTACATTAAATCACCTTGTGTCTTACCTTGGATCCATTAGTATATAAAGTGTGGAACTTGGGAAGAACACCATATAGTCAGTGTACGAAAGAAGGAAAAGAACAGAGATATAGAAAGCCATAGCTATGGGAAGTAGAGGAAACTCTGTTCTTGCTGTGGTTTTTCTTCTTTTGTTTGCCGGGAATGTGGAGGTCATTGGCCAGAGCAGTGGATTGCGAGTGGGATTCTACTCGAGATCGTGCCGCAATGTAGAACCCATTGTTAGAGGTGTGGTGCAGAGGTTTCTCGGTAGGGATAGGACGGTCACGGCGGCACTGCTGCGGCTCTTCTTCCACGATTGCTTCGTCCGAGTAAGTTTCCTGGCGATGGATAGTATCTCAATCGATCGAGAGAGAGGAGATGATAGTTTGGTATGATACTTCATTTCCTCTTGGCAGGGATGCGATGCTTCTTTGTTGCTCAACTCCACGAGAACCAACCGTTCCGAGAAGGAGCACGGAGCAAACGGGAGCGTCCGGGGGTATGATCTTATCGACGCCGCCAAGGCCGAGGTGGAGAGGCAATGCCGGGGGGTTGTCTCGTGTGCCGATATCGTGGCATTGGCGACGAGAGATTCGATCGCCCTGGTGAGTCTAGAGGCGTTCCTTGGATTGATTGAACACCATGGTGGTTTTGTTTCGATCGAGCAGGCTGGAGGTCCAGACTACCCCGTTCCAACCGGGCGGAGGGACGGGAGAATCTCCATCGTGAACGACGCAGACGTCTTGCCGGATCCAAACAGCAATGCCAACGGTGCCATCCAAGCCTTCGCAAACAAGGGCCTCACTCCGCAAGACCTTGTTCTCCTCCTGGGTATGTACGGAAAGAACTTTGGGACTCCTCCGTGAACCCCGGAAAAATGATCATTTTCTTGTTGTCAATGAATGTAGGCGCTCACACTGTCGGAATTACGCACTGCGGCTTCTTTCGCCACCGCCTCTTCAACTTCCGCGGCACCGGGCGAGCGGACCCGAGCATGGATCCGGCGCTGGTGAGGCAGCTCCAGCGCGCTTGCACCTCAGACTCGGTGGAAGTTTTCCTCGACCAAGGAACTCCATTCCGGGTGGACAAGGTCTTCTTTGATCAGCTCGTCTCCAACCGGGCGATCCTCATCATCGACCAGCAGCTCCGGGTGGAGCAAAGAACCGACGACATCGTCCGCGCGCTTGCAAACGGCACGCTCAACTTCAACGCCGCGTTCGCGCAGTCCATGACCAATATGGGCAACTTGGATGTGCTCACGGGCACGCGCGGCGAGATTCGAAGAGTCTGCAGCGCTGTGAACTAAAGAACCCAAGATTGTTTCCTCGATGATCGAGGCAGGAAAAATTCCATCTTTGTGTTGCATTCATTGTCAAAGGCAAGTTGATCCTTGTACGTAAAGTTCTTATATATAAAAACGAGAACTTTGCAACAAATGGGCCTTGTTCTTGACCGATTTTGTCCAGATTCTCGTGGCTTGTGTGCCAGAACACATGTTCGGGAGATCGACCGTTTCTTTGGTCCCCACTATTCTATTTGGAAGAAAACGCGTGCATTGGATCGATCTAAAGGCTTCTCTTTTTAAAATGAAGAGATGGGCGACGACGTATGTGCGTCCAAGTCCAAGAGCTCGCCCAGCTCCTTCGCAGCTGTGGCGCTGCCAAGGATCTGGCCAATGCCCAACACGCCCATGCTCGATTGCTCGACAGCCCACTGCGCGGCAGCACCTATCTCGGGAATCTGGCGGTGGAAATGTATGGGAAGTGTGGATCACTGGACGACGCGGTCAAGGCCTTTCGATCGATCCACGCGCCCAATGCCTTTTCGTGGAACATACTGATGAGCGCGTTTGTGACCAACGGTAGAGTTGACGAGGCCAGGCGGGTGTTTGAGAAAAACCCAGTGAAGAATCTTGTCAGCTGGAATGTTGCTATTGCAGCAATTGCCGCGGGTGGAGATCTGGAGGAGGCGCGGCGATTGTTTGATGCGATGCCTTTCTACAGTCTCGTGTCATGGACGACGATGATCACTGCGTATGCGGATTGCGGAATGGTTGACGAAACGAAAACGTTGTTTCTTGCGCTGGAGCACAGAGACGTCATCTGCTGGAACGTAATGCTTTTGTGCTATGCCCAGAACTGGCATCTGGAGGAAGCCATTGCGCTCTTTAATGAGATGCCAGAGCGAGATGTTTCGTCGTATACAACGATGATATCAGTTTTGGCATCAAGAAATGATTTAGAAAATGCGAAGGATCTGTTTGATTCTATGCCATTACGAACTGTAGCCGCTTGGAACTCTATGATTGCGGCAAATGCCGAGAATTGGCAAATGGAAAAGGTGGCCATTGTTTTCTTTGAGATGCCCGAGTGGGACTGCTTCTCGTGGAACAGCCTCCTGGGTGCGATTGCAGACTTTGGGAGGATTGACGATGCAATCGTGATGTTTCAAAGAATCCCTTTCAGAGACACAGTTTCATGGAACTTGATGATCGCGGCAATGGGTTCTCACGGCCATATCCGCGAGGCACAAGCTCTCTTCGCCATGATGCCGCAGAGAAACGCTGTCTCCTGGAGCACGATGATTGGAGCTTATGCACAGCAGGGACTGGCCGTGGACGCAAAGATCGTGTTTGATTCCATGGAGTCTCACAACACAGTCGCGTGGAACTCACTCCTTGCTGCCTACCTTGCGAGCGATCGAGTGGGCGATGCTAGAAAAGTGTTTGATTCCATGCCTGATCGAGACGCAGTGTCATGGACGTCGATGATCTCCGCCCATGCCATGCAGGGCCAGATGCGCGAGGCGAGAGCACTCTTCGATTCCATGCCACGGTGGGATGTGGCGGCGTGGAATGCGATCATCTCTGGCTACGCAAGGAGCGGCGATCTCGATGAGGTGCAGCTCCTCTTTGGTCGGATGACCCATCACAACGCTGTGACGATCAATGCCATGGTCGCAGCACTCGCGTTTGGTGGTAGGATCGAGCAGGCCAAGCTCCTCTTTGATCGATTCGCATCGCCCAACTCCGCAATCTCCATGCTCGAGGCCTACGCGCAGTCCGGGAGGATCGAAGAAGCCAGGGTGCTGTTTGATCGCTTGAGTCCGGAGAATCGGGACTCTAGCGCGATCAGAGCGATCATCGATGCGTATGCCCGGATCGTGGATGTTGCAGAGGCGTGGCGGATCTTCTCCCAAATCGCCCATCCCGATGCCACGAGCTACAACGCTATGATCGCAGCATTGGCCTCGAATGGGCATTTGCGCGAGGCAAAGATCCTCCTCTCCAGGGCGAGAGAGAGCAACGCAGTGTCCTGGAACACCCTCCTCACGAGCTACATCCAATTCGGCCATCTTGGCACCGCGATCGCGATCTTCCGTGCCATGCCGGATCCAAATCTAGTCTCGTGGACAGCAGCGATCACTGGCCTCGCCCACAATCCCGGATCGCATCGATCGGCGCTGGATCTCTTCTGCGAGCTCCAGCAGGAGGGCTGGAACCCCAGCGAGATCTGCTACACGGCCGTGCTAGCGGCTTGCAGCTACCAAGGCTCGATCGAGGAGATCCAGTGCTGCTTTCGATCCATGCGCGAGGACTACGATCTGACAGCATCGCCGGAGCACTACTGCGCGGTGGTGGATTGCTTGGGCCGAGCGGGGCATCTGGATCGCGCGCTGGATCTTGTGGAGTGCTTGCCTTTCGCGCCCAAGTTTGTGGGTGCCTGGACGAGCTTGCTGGGCGCATGTAGCCTCCATGGTCGTGATCCAGAGCTCGCGGCGATAGCGGCAGAGAGGATTCGAGCGCTCAAGCGCGATAGCACGGCATCATACATTCTTCTTTCAAACACATATCATCAATCATTTGGTTGAAAAGGTGGTAGGGTTCGGGAATTCGGCGATGGAGAGCAAGAAGCGCAACGCGGAGGAGGATGAGCATCCGGCATCCAAGAGGAGGCAAGTAATGATTCTGATAGCGCATGCATGCAGGAGCCTGGTGATGCGATTTTTGAAGAAGATGCTGCGCGTTTATCTTCGCTGTGCCTGGAATACACGGAAGAAGAAGAAAATTTCTTTGTTTTGTGCTGGCTACTGAGCTGTGCATCACTATAGCGTATGTGCGATGCCTTTGATGCTAGAATTGTGTCCGCCTCTGACGCTGTAATCGATCGCGGCAACCGATGTGGGAGTCGTACAACTGGGTGTTGACGGTAATGTCTTTCGTTTATGTTGTGCTGCACTGACGTTCATTCAAGGCCATTGTAGGTGCGAAGAAGTTTTGCCCTTGAATGCTCACATGGAGCTTAAAGACTTAGGTACCTGTTGTCTACTTTTCTCCTCAAGGAAAAATCACTTTCTGCTTCGCAGTGGAGTATCCAAAGCGGTACGAGCTGAACATATGGTTCGGCGAATACAAGACGTCGTTTATTCGCACTGCAATGTAATCAGGAAGTCTGCTGGCTGCTGACTGGTGTTGACTAGCGCAGGCTTTGTTGACCAAGCTGCAGCAGCTTCTTCACTGCCAGGGACGACGAATATGATCCGTCTCGCGCAAGGTCTCGTTGAAGGTCCTTACAACAAGTGCCATGGCTCGCCTCTTCACCGTGTGCACATGCACGAGTGGTTGCTTTTTCTGCAAAAGATTTTTCAGGATGGCGTTCAAGTTGAGGACCATGAGATGGTCATTCCGACTCTGAATGTGACTGTGACTTCACATTCGATACTTGTTCTGACAAGTTTGTTCTGAGCAGCTGATCCTGGACGTGCTTGAGGGCATACACAGATCCCTGTTTTCTGTGACATACTGTTTTCTGTCAGCCTTCTTCAGCTGTATAGAGCTCTGTTTCAAATGGCCTTGAGTAAGAGCGGGTTTGTTCCTTGCTCTTTTTTCTTGTTCTCTTCTCTTTTCTTATTTCGTGTGTGCAGCAGTTGTTCCTGCAGATCCTGCCATGAAATTCTAGTCTAACTGCTGCGGCAGGACTTTTATATCTGCTGATAGGATGTCCCTCGATCTGGAATGCACGTACGGTAATGCTTTAGATCTGTTCTTTCTAGGAGTGGGTGTTGTTTATGTTTATGCCATTACAGGTAGGTTTTATATGATGATCCTCTTGAAGATGGCCAGAAGTGAGTGCAGAGTTTTAAAGCTGGGTGCTTAGCATTGTGTTATTCTTTGCAGAAGAGCCACAATACTTTCTGGACGAGCATGAGAAAACGTGTGCCATGAAGTGGCTGGCGAACAAACACACGTCTAGGTAATGTGTTCGACTACGAACTGAGCGATCAAAACGGGCTTGCTGCTCAAGGGCTTTAAGTATGGTGTTCCTCTTTTAGAGATTTTTCACCATTTGGAGTAGTCTTGACTTTGATATTTTGTTATTTGGACAGTAAATAAGTTTTTCTTTCGCTCCAAAACTCCACACTGATCTCCTGGCATGAACTTCCAATAGGGTTCGAGAATCGAGAAGCGCAACGCGGAGGAGTTGCAGCACCCCAAGAGGAGGAAGGTTTTGGAGCGCCTTGCTATTTCTAAGGTTGGCAACACTTTGTACGTGCACTTTTATCATTTTTTTACAAAAAGATAAAAATATGATAGAATGTTGGTGGAACTATGACAAAATCTTGATCTAATGTTTAAAATGTACCTTTCAGTTCATACAAATATTGGAGAGAAGCACATATGGAGAAGAAATGTCTGGATTAAGCTTCACTATCTTCTCAGCAGCCCGTGCAGCTCTTTTCTCGTCCAAGTGAACGTTACAAGATCCAAGGAGGCTCCCCCAGGCCACATCGTCTGCAGCAAATGGCATGGAATGGATAAGCTCCTCGGACTCGTACAGGAGTCCCGATCTTCCAAGCAAGTCAGCCACAAACAAATAGTGGGCTTTGAGCGGAGCAAGGCAGTGGTCCGCCGCCATCGCCAGGAAGTAGTATCGAGCGGCAACGAGCACGCCAATGTGGCTGCAAGCGAGCAGCACATTCAAGAAGGAGAATTCGTTTGGATTGACCCCTTCGAGGCACATAAGCTCGAGAGCGCGGAAGGATTCGCCATGGTCTTGTTGCGCAAGCCCTGCCAGCATCGAGTTCCAGGCCAGAATGTCTCGGTCTGGCATGAGGTCGAACACCTCTTGAGCAGCTTGTAATTCCCCGCAATGGGTATTTGCTGTCAGTAAAAGCGTCCAAGAGACGAGATCCCACGAAGGCATCTTTCCAAAAACATTTCTCGCTTCAGGAAGACGTAAATTGTGAACGAAACCCGCAAGAATAGCTGACCAAGAGCTCGAATCCCTCACATCCATCTCTCGAAACAGGTGGTCGGCATTGTCAATATGCCGGTTTTGGGCAAACACGGTAAGCATAGCGGTTTTGGACACGACGTCGTGCCGCGGCATAGCGTCGTAAATCTCTTTGGACTTTTCAGTTTCACCTCGGATTCCGAGTGCGGTGACCAGCGGCGTCCATGAAACGGAATACGGATCAGGCACAGACCTGAGCAGCTCCTCCGCCTGCAGCAAATACCCCGTCTCGGCATATGCAGTAGCCATCGCATTCACGGCCACCGCGTTCCACTTGGGCATTCTTGAAAACATCGCAAAAGCCTTTAGGACGCAGCCCTCCTGGCCATAGCCCGAGATCATCGCCACCCACGCAATAGCGTCCCTTTCGGCAATGACATCAAACACAACCTTTGCCCGGTGTAGCTGGCCGCACCTAGCATACGCTCGAAGCAATGTCGTCCACGATACGACACTCCACTCGGGCATCTGGTAAAACATCTCCTCGGCTTCCCGGAGCCGCGAGTTCCATGCGTAGGCTCGAAACATCGCGTTCCAACTCACAATACTCCACTCCGGCATCCTCTTAAACAACGCGATCGCGTCCTGGATGTCCCCATAGTCGGCATAGGCCGTCAGCATGGCGCTCCACGAGATCACGCTCAGCTCAGGCATCTGATCAAACAAGCTCTTCGCCTCGCGCAAATGCCCCCTCTGGGCATATGCTTGAAACGCCGAAACCCACGATACGGCGTTCCGGGCAGGAATCCGGGAGAAGAAGCTCCACACCTCCGGAAGAGCTCCATGCTGCCCGAATCCAGCGATCATCGCATTCCAAGTAACATCATTTCTCTCGAGCATAGAATCAAAATGCCGCTTTGCATCCACCAAATGGCCATTGTGGGCATATGCAGTGATCATGATGCTGTGCGAGAAAACGTTTGGAGCATCTATGTCATCGAAGGCAAGGCGAGCGTCGCGGGCGCTGCCACACTTTCCATACATCTGGACGGCGAGATTGGCGATGAATCGGCTGCGCGAGTGGTCGCTGGCGAGAACTCGCGCGTGGAGGCGGCGGGCCTCTGCTAGATCGCCCATATCCCCACAGGCGCGAAGGAGATTCTCCCAGTAGACGCGGCATTCCTCCAATCCCTGTCGCGAGCTTGGGCTGCTTCTCATCGAGGGTCATGATCCAAGTGGCATTTGTCCTCCCAAACATAGAGGCAAGACTGGTTCTCTCCAAAGATGGAATTATTGACCTCGTCTTCGATGACCTAGTCTCCATTGACCAAGTCTCCTCCATTGACTATCTTCTTTAAATTCGCCCCAAGCAAAGAGACCAAGCGAAAAAGATGGCTGCTACTCAACAAGGGGAGTGGAAACTCGACATCAATGGTACGTTTGTTGCGTTGGAATTTTAGCTACAATGTTGGTGGTGGTTTTAGTTCTCGATGGGAAAAATTTGAAGAACACCGAATGGATTGGCAAGCAAGATCCTTTCGTGAAATTGGAGTACGGATCCAACAAGTTTGGAACCAGAGTTCTCCGGCGTGAGTTCTTCTTGTGCTTGATGAGAAAATTCGAGCTGATGATGGAAGCGTATCACTGTGGCAGATGGTGGCGTGAATCCTGTGTTTAACAAGAAGTTCGTGGCGTTAGTGATCCCGGGGTGCCAGGAGATCAGTGTGGAGGTTCGGAACGACCACTCGCTCTACGATAACCTCATTGGCCGCGGCACAGTTCTTCTCGACAAAGTCTTGGCATGCGGCTACGATGATCGCTGCTGGCCGCTGCAAACAAAGAAGGGAGAGTATGGATCAGAAAGAGATAACTTATCTTTGCTCACTTACTTAGAAGCGGGTACTTTGCAGGGACGCGGGTGCGTTGAGGGTGATTTTGCACACCAGAAAAGTGGCTCGACGTTCTTCCTCTGCACAAACAGAGCATCAATCCAAGGTCGCATTGATTGGAAGTGCCCTGAAGAAATTAGTGAAAGGCAAAAACAAAGCGAGCGAAAACAAAGGAGAAGGAGAGGAAGGAGAAGAAGGAGAAGAAGGGGAAGAGGAGGAAGAAGAGGAAGAAGAGGAAGAAGAGGACGATGACGACGATGACGACGAGATTGAGTTTGACTTCTAATTAAAAGTATTAAGAAAAGAAATGGATAAGTACAATACCTGGCCTTGCGATCGAACTAAAGTTTGGTAGCGGGCCGAAGAAGTTCACGCTCTTCAGTTCCTGCTAGGACACCTTGGTTTCGACAAAAGCCGCAACAAAGAAGGGATTACCTGATGCATAAATACATTGCATATGCGCCTTGAGCTTCAGCGATTCGTAGACAAGGTATAAGCGGCTGCATAAAGAACATTTCCTAGAAACAAAAAATAAAAAATAAAAGAAAAACTACTAGCCTTTGATGTTTGGCAAATCCCTGGCTGCCCGCCTCCTTTGTCGCAATGAAAATCTGGGATGTGACCACTTCTGGTGAATCCAAAGGATGCCTTGGACTGTTTCACGTGCTGTTGCTGCTCGTAACTTTGGCCTCATTCATATGATCTCGCTCTCTTTCCCTCTGCCAAAGCAGCCACTCGAGCCGGGCCCAACCAACAGCAGCACATGGAGCCACCATCCCCTGCACACAAAAGGTGATAAATTAGAGCCCAGCTGTTGCTAAATGCAATGCAACCGGCAAGAAACTTTAGCACAAAAACTACATGCCAGGGCCAGCAGAGAGATTGAAATAAAAACTAAAGTGCCGAAAAAGTACCGTCTGAGATTGACCCCTGCGTGTAGTCTTGTGCGGGTGTAGCAGTTTTTATGGGGAGTCCCGTGACGAAAGTTGTCGTCCTGCACAAGCGTATCAGTTTACATTCCTTTGGCAGCTCTCTACCTGGAAATGGCTCCGTCCAGTGGATGGAGATTCTCGACAGAATACACGGCGTCGATCGCGTAGCTTGTGGACGTGGTTAAATTATTCCTAGGCCAGAACCTGTGCAATCATTTTGCCAAGGAAAACAAAAAATAATCAGTGAGATTCAGACCATGCTTCACATAAAGTACGTACCTCTAAACTTGAAGCCATATTTTATCTCCGATCCCATCTTTCCGCAAGCATTTTTCCTGTTGATTACCAGCTCTACTTCACCTTCTACGAGCTCTAGAAACACGGGCTAGCAAGTAGGACCTGCGTCGCTGGAAGTAAAAAAAAAAAAAGAGAGAGAGAGAGAGAAGAAACCACCAACATCACACTCAGTGGACAGTGATGCTTCAAGGGTCAGCCATAGCCATTAAGAAAAGGACGACATTACTCTGGTCTCAAAAGATGTTGTCATTTCTGGTGTTTCAAAGCTATGGTACAATAGAAGTTGTAAGAGTAACAGTCAGCCGACTACCACATCCTGAAAGGAAAAAAAAAATAAAGAACACTACACTAGAAAACTTAGCTGAAAGTGCTCAAAATCACGATCTTACGCTTTGTTGTGAGCCTCCCAGAGGGTTGGAAAATGAGAACCCAGAATACTACGCGCGCCGCATCGTTCAAGGGAAGAGGAAGAAGAAGAAGAAGAGAGCTTTAGCCTGTCACCGCTTCTCGTAGTTTCCAGACTGGAGCGAACCATCCCTGAGTAGACGAATGCTCAGACTGTTGTACCGTCCTCTCGAGTAATGTCTCGAAGCCTTCCGCCAGTCGGTTCCAGTCCGCATCATCGACGCAAACTCCTCATAGCTTATCTTGCCATCCTTGTCCAGATCAACCTCCTGGAGGATGTCGTCGATCATCTCCGTCTCGCTGGCCCCACGATCATCGTACAGAGCTTCTCGAAGCTCCTCCTTCTCAATGAATCCGCTCTCGTCCTTGTCCAGCCGGTTGAAAGCCTTCCGCAGGTACTCATCATTGTCCATCCTCTGTATGTGGATCATCATGGCCACAAACTCTTGGTAGTCAAGCGTCCCCTTGTTATTCACGTCCGCCGCTTCCATCAGCAGCTTCGCCTCGCTCTCCGCCAGCTGCGAGCCAATCTTCGCCAGGCCAACCTTGAGCTCGTCGTACGTGATGCTGCCCTCATTCTTCTGGTCCATCACCTTGAACATGTCCTTGTAGCTCTCGACCTCGTCACCCGACAGAAGCTCCGTGATCATCTGCAGCGCCTTCCTCTTGAGCTTGTTCATCGCTGAAAACTGCTTCAGCCTGTTCCTCACGACGTCCCCCAGTGGAACGTTCGACGCCTTCTTCGCGTTTTGCAGCCACGGGTGATCGAGGACCTGCTGGGCCGTGTAGCGCTGCTTTGGATCCGGCATCAACATGTTTTGCACGAGCGACTTCGCGTTCTCGGATATCTTCGGCCACGGGTCCCGCTTGAACTCGATCTGGCCGCGAAGAATAGCCTGCGCCACACCCTGCTCCGACTCGGCCCAAAATGGCGGGACTCCCGAGAGCAGAATGTAAAGGATCACACCCGCGCTCCACACATCGATCTCCGGCCCATAGTTCCGCTTGAGAACTTCGGGTGCCATGTAGTATGGGCTCCCCACAATCTCCGAGAACCTCTCTCCCGGCCTGAAGAAGACGGACAACCCGAAGTCGATTGCTTTCAGTGGCGAGTTCTCCTTCTTGTTCGCGAAGAGGAAGTTCTCCGGCTTGAGATCCCTGTGCATGACGCCGTGCTTGTGGCAGACTTGCACGACCTCCACGATGGTCCTCGTGATCCCGGCAGCCGCCCTCTCGCTGTAGTGGCCGCGTGCAATGATCCTGTCGAACAGCTCCCCTCCCTCGCAGAGCTCCATCACCAGGTGGACAGCATTGCCATCCTCGAAAACATCCTTGAGCGCCACCACATTGGGATGCCGCGGCAAGTGGTGCATGATCTGGACCTCCCTCCTCACGTCGTCGATGTCCACTGCCGTCCGGAGCTTGGATTTGGAGATGGACTTGCAAGCTAGATCCTCCTGGCTCTCCTTGCCCGTGCACAGATAGGTGATGCCAAATTCTCCGCGGCCCAATTCCTTGCCGAGAACGTACTTCTCGTTGATGTCCACTTCCTGCTGGACGGACATTCCCGGTGCATGCTCCTTCATTATCACCTTGGGCGGCCCGGTCCCCTTGAATCCATCCTGAGCAAAAGGATTGGGCTTCCGCTCCTTCCTCTTGATACCTGGCGTCGCGCAGCAGTTCCCCATTGCCGCTGGAGATCCACAGATCACCGGATGCTCAAAAGCCTCTCGGATCTGTGCCTAAAGCCCCGGCGAAAAGACTCGTGCGATGCGACTCCCAGATCGCGCTGCCCGGCTCCCGGAGCAGATCTGCGCAAGCTATATCAGAATGTAGCCAGATTTCGAGCGAAGAAGCTATCGATCTACCTCAAGGCGCTTACCGGCCAGCGAGCCCCTCGTGGAATCTAGCCAAACCCCAGCAGCCAGCTCCCGATGCCGATATTTCACGCTGCCGACTGTCGAGAGATGAAATCCGGGCAAATCACGAATCACGAATCCCGCGGAGCGATAGAGAGGCGCCGCCGGCGCTCGCGCAGCGCCATGCTCCTCCGGCCCCCGGGAAAACCCTAGCTAGCACGCCGCAAAACCCTAGCGGCATCCACAACGAAGCCGAGCTACCTCGCGAGAGGAGTGAAAAGAATGAGTGAATCGAGTGAAATGAACGGCCTGGCATTTAGGGACAGTGTCCTTAGAGCGTAAGCCAGAGTCCTCCGGCGGTCAAAGAAACGTTGCTTTTTGGCCGCCTACGTGTCACGAAGCTCAGCCGTGGGATATTCGCGCCGGCATATTCTCACGTTTGAAAGTTGGGCAAGTTGGAGCTGTCGAGGTTTTCTTCCGTACACACCTACCTATTGACACATTGTACGGACAGGTTCCTATGTTCTTTGCGAAACTTAAGACTTTAGAAAGCAAGTGTTCTTCGCGAAACTTGATCGCATGAGAGAACAAACGCGCACTCTCTCGATTTCTTTTTTACATTCCTCGAGTGAGACCAGTTTACACACCACCATCACCAAACAGTTATATAGTATATAGGTATGTCATCTTCGTCGTGGTCTCTTTTCTTTCTTTCTTTCTTCTTTTTCGCGGTCCAAAGTCTTTGCCCTGCGTCCCACCCAGTCAGTGTTGATGTTGTTGATGGATTTATTTAGAGACCTTGACAATGTGTCGCGATTGTAGAGCTTCCCTCACGTCGCCGGTGAGCTCCTGATCAAAAAAAATATAAGAAAAACTTCCATCCCTTCCTGCATTTTCTCTCCGGACTTTGTTAAGCTCACTCGACCTTCGCCTGGATCGTTTTTGTCAAAAATCTGCTTGCTGCTCGCTCTGGCGACCGTCCCAGCACCGAAAGTTAATCTTCCCTACTCGTACATATCCCGCTGCTTCGCGGTCCCAAAAAACACGAGCTCGTTGTACACTGGTCATCCATTCTCGGCTGCTATCGGCTACTCGATTGCTCTGGAGACGATGCTGCCGGGATCCGTGGCTTGGCCTCGATCTGGAGCTTGCATCCAGCACTGACCCGGCCTGGAGCTCCTAGTCTTGAGACCACGCTATCATCCCTGACCTTGCTACTCGAAGATTTAGTGGAGTCCCGTTTGTCGTCAAGACCACCTTTCAAGCTACCAGGTTGTTGATCAGTTGTTCTACCAATCTGTGGTTTCCCCTCGACTGATATCCTGTTGATTCCATCGACCTCTTGCTTTCCCAATTCGGACTGGCCACCACTGTCTTGTCTGAGCTTTTTGTGTATAGAAAAGTCGCCTAGATGAGGCCTCCGCTTAGCATGAGGCCAGTGTTCCGATCCATCACTCTTTCGAGGACGGCTTTTCCCATTGCTAGGGACAAGGGAATCGTCATCTTCATCGTCATAGTCAACCAAGCAGAATGGTCTGTAGGGACAAATTAGCACGAGAAAAATCTTCCGAAGAGATGAACGACTAACCTGAACGGAGCATCCTCTACTGCATTGCCATTGACTGTGATAGTCTGAGACGTTTGTGCGCTGTCCTCTTCGTCATCACTGAGCAAGTCGGAAGTTAAAAACCAGTGCCTATAAAGTAAAGCAGCACGTACCTATCCTCGTTGAAATAATCTTCTTCAGCCTTATCAAGTGCACGTTCGTCTTTCCTTTTCCTTAGACTGGGAAGCGGACCAATAAAGCGGTCGGAACTAGTTTCTATTCCACTAGGTCCGGCAGGAGCTTCTCGATTAGACGTAGTAGAATCATCCATATACTGTGAAGTAAAACATTAAAGAATGCGAAAAAAAAAACACTCAAGCTCTGCTCACCTGGTCATATTTCACCTTCAGTTGCTTAACAGTATCAACATAGTCGACGCATTCCAGCTTTTTGCCGTAGTTTTCAACAATATGTATGAGAAGATCCTTCAAATTCGACTGTAACAAAAGAAATTAAGCTTCGTAAAAAATATAGCAAAGATTTACCTTCCGGATAAAATCAAGCAACTCCAATACAGATGAGTTAAGAAGGTTATATCGGTTTCCGTTAGCTAAAAACGCCTGAATAACAGGCTCAAAAAGATTATTCTTAATAAGGTACCGAGCATAAAAGTTATCCTGTAATAATGGCGTTAGTACCGAACCACTTCGCACAAAACCATCACCTTAAGCCCCACACAAGTTCGGAGGAACCTCACAGCCGCGACGACAAGGACTTTTTCCTTCCTTCGAACAAGGCGCAAGACCTTCTCTACAACGTTGTTCCGCATCACGTAATACCTGCTAACAATCGCTTAGCTTGATTAAATGAAAGTAGCACTTACTTCATCCTGTATCCATGATGCAGTACGCAAAAGCACATCAATTCACAAATGTTGCCGAGCACCTCGCCAGATGCTGGTGTTTTCTCTACCGTAGGGACTCGCTTCGAATGTTCCGTAACCACCTTTGTCGGACAGGAAGAAGTTAACACTTCAACAAGCTGATCTATGTATTTTTCATAGAACATCTCCAAGTACGCAATCTTTTCGGTTGGCTGCTGCTTTCCAACTCCAAAAATCAATAAAAAATGCAAAAACACTAAAATTGACCTCATACCTGTTCTGATGGTTCAGAGTCCAAGAGCATTCTCATTATTTCGAGAATTTGTGCTTGCAACCCTCCTTCAGAGGAGTTCAACAGACCCTTGACCTGGACAAGAACCATCTTAGTATCTATTGAAAACAAGATTTGCAAATACCAGAAGACCAAAAAGAACGTGACCCTCTTGCTGCACAAGAAAAGTACGTAGCAAAGCAGCATCATGATTGAGAATTACAATCAGGATATCGCTCCTGCAAGACAAAAAAGATAAACGAGGATTCTCAAAAATTCGAGTGACTTACCCACTTACACGCAGATTTAAATCTTCACTTTGAAGAGCCATTGTAACAACTTCAAAAATGCCTTTCTCAACAAGGGAGCTGTAAAGCGAAGATCAAAGTCCAACATCAAACTAATGTGTTCATACCCGAAAAGTTCCGAGCGGTGAAGAGAAAGAAGATTTTTGCTAAGGTTACAAAACTCGTGCAGGAAGTATATCTGGAAGGAACAGTCTAAGCATAAATCCAGTTAATCAACGAAATAAAAACTTACCAAATCGTTTCGAACATTTTGAGAGATGTCAGGGGATCGAAGTTTTGCAAATAGATCACTTACAAATGTTTTATCAGAATGGAGAGCAGAGACCACCTAAAATGTAGAGTTAATAGCAGGCCGTGTCACACAATGCAAATAAAAATTACCGCTTTGTTGTTCGCTAACATCATCGAATTCATATTGGCAAACGTTTGGTCATCCAAGACACGAGGTAAAATAACATCCTGCAAACATGTAGTCAGAACAGATACTATAGTCAGAGTAAGAGTACGAACCTTTACGTAGCCGATTCTATAGGTTTGGTGAATCTTCGACACAATGGCTACGTCATGTATGGGTACAGCCTACATTTAAAATAATAAGAAGCTTCAAAACCAACGTACACAATTACCTCCTTAAAGACAACTTGAGTTTTTAAGAAACCCCGATGATCTTGTTGAGAGGAAAGTTCAGGATCGTCTAATATCCAAAGATCAGAAACAGGAGAATGAAACCTTCGGTCTTACATTCTAATGCGCCCACCACGTCCATGACGTGTTCATCGCTAAAAATAGTGTCGAACACATTCTTGTCGTTCAAAGAAACTGGAAATGAAAGGAACATCACAACTAGGCAACCACAATTTGAAACCTTACTCATTCCCTTGACTATCCGAAAGATCATGTGAAGGTTTTCAACGTTTTCCAAGTCCTCGCAAAGCCTGAACAGCTCCATCAGTTTCGGGATATAACTTTGCTGATTAACACATATTCGAGCATGAGAACTTGCCTCAAGAAAACTTAGACGAGTTAACAACTTACTTCTTTCATTATTAGCGAAGCTACGCGGTCTTTGTCGGGGGGTGCAACTTCCGCGATCGTCTGAAGGGATAAAAACATGTCAAATATGCCACCAAGAATAACCTTACCTTCACAATCTGCGGAAGCGAGGATAGCTCAACGCCGGGTAATTGTTGAATTTCACTGCTACCACTATCGTGGAGCACGTCATCTGTGGCACAGTGTATCAGTATAGTTCTGTAAAGAACTATGTTCCAAAATAATACCATCGTCTTGAGATGTACCAGAATGTTCCAATTCGTCACTTGTAACACGGGCCCCGTTTTCCAAAGCTGAGTAAAGGAAGGTATCAGAGAAGGAACATTACTGTTCACAAGTGTACCTCCAACGTTGGTATAATGAACAACAGACCTTTGAACATTACAAATTTGCTCCCTGCAGCTCAAACTTTCAGAAGAATCCCACCACGCACACAATCCATACCAGATAAACCCACACCCCATGGCCTCTTGGAAGCTCAGAGCCAGATCCGTGGCAATCTCGGGATCCGTCCATGAAATAATCGTTTCTAGAGAGCACCAAAAGCATCAGTATAAATCCGCAACGAGCAAGAGCGCAGTAGAACCTGCCTTCCTGCCGCCTATAGATATCGTCCGCCGAAATCCGATGAACTAGAAGCGTGTTGTTGTCTTCCTCGTCAATAACAACCATGCCCAAAGCATCTGATCTCTGCAGAAACGAAAGCAATACATATGAGACAAAGTTGCGAGCAAGCTGGCACAAACCTCAAGGTACTCGACCGAGACATGGCCCGTTCCTTTGTCATCCCACCTTCCTTCATCGTTCAAGCGGTATACCTTTACACGCTGAACCGCAAGCAGATGCAAACTCTTATACCAATCGCGAAAAAAAAGGGGGAGAAAAATTCAGTATCAGTTAGCTGCAAGCTACTGCTAAATCGCTACTTCTACCAAAGGAGAAGGAGGAACAAAAAAATAAATCCTTGCGGGAACAATGAGACTCACCTGAAGGTAGTTCAAGTCGAGTTGAGTGGCGGCATCGTTATTACTCTGAGAGGAAGACATGACCTCGGAACCAAGCGCGCGCGCGCTACTCACAGCTCCATCCATTCCGCCATTGGAGTAACCCTAGGCCCACTTCCCAGAAAACCCTATCCTGCCGGCTTCCGCTGCTGCTCCTCCTCCACCTAAAACCCTAGAAATTCCCCCTCGCAGCTCACACCATTCTCGGCAGGGAAGGACTAGCAGCGCCACGCTACCTGCGAGCACGCCCGCGCAACAGCGCGCCGAGAATCCCCGTCCGCCATAGCCTCGCACCTTGGCGCCCTAGACGCGTGCGCGAGTCCAAACCCAAACAAGACAACACTACTCAAAACACACACTTTTTTATATTTCACCCTGGGGACATTTCTACCATGGGAATTATAGGACTTAAAACCATGGTACGTTTTGTCAAAAAAGGGACATTGATTGCGAAGTTCCTGGCATCCAAAAGCTCGCGATGTCAAGCGCCATTGTCTCCTCTTTTTCTGTGAAAGAATATCCTGTTTAGTCCCCCTTTTGCCACAGGGATTTTCCACACACGAAAAGCGTCAGTGCCGCGCACAGCATCACGAGGGGAGTGCCAATTACACACCCGTTCTGTACGAGATTCACCAAAGTCTACAGGAAAAATACGAAGAGAGAAAGCAATTTTTACTTCTCGATTCTTAGAAATTTTATGCAAGAACTTTACCAGCGAGGAAGCCACGGCGTGCATAGCGGGGACGAAGAATCGGAGGCCACTGTTGTGGTCTTCGTAGCCTTTGAAGAATATAACCATTGAAAATGTGTGGATCAATAGAAATCCGAGTGAGATGACAGCTGTTCTAACGAAAACACACACCAATTAAAAAGCAAAAACCTTGAGAAAAAGAGACCAAACTTTACTTACAAATCACAAGAAAAAATGGCATTTGAGGACACGAGCGAAGGTAAAATGTCCCGGGTCCAAACGCCGGTGTAAGCAGGCTCAAGCAAAACATGATCGAGTGAGCCAAACCATGGCCAAAGCCCAGAGCTGCAACCATCAAGAGATTCAGACTATCTATGATACAAAAAAACAAGTTTTTTCAAGCTTACCAATGGCGATCTCGATCTTTTCACTGGGTCTAAGAGGAGGCTTCGAGATCCTGACCGCAACACCATTTAGAGAAGACTCCACTTTCCTGATCAACACTTATTTCCACCTCCGAAAAAAAAAAAACAACAAAGAAAGAGCTCTCTTACTTGAAAGTTCGCCAGAAGTGAACTCTAAGAAACTCCTGAAGAGCCACCGACGAAGCTAGAAGTGGCAAACAAATCCAACTGGAAGAACCCAAAGGAAGAAATCCCCTCCAAACGATCGCAAGCGCGACGAGAGATGCGAGCCATACCAGCGTGCTGAAAAAAAAACACCAAGGAAAATCAATGCGATGTATCAACTTATCAAGACCATACCTTGCAAGGAGCGTAAGAATAAGAAGGGGCTTGGACACGATAGAGAGGAAGAAGAGACTAAACCCCGGCCCAAGCGCGATCAGTGTGTACCCCACACCGCTAGCTACTGTCATCACCTCAAACCCTAGAAATTTACTCTAGACCTTTTCCCCATCTTCTAAAAACTTTGATTTTTTTTTCGAGCTCTTCATCTGTTCTTCGATTTTTTTCGATCTTCTTCTCTGTTCTCTGTCCGCCAAGACGAACAAGCTAGATGAGTATATCAAAGAGATTTCTAGAGAAGCGTAAAGAATTTAAGTTTATAACTTACAGATTGTCCCACCGAGTACATGAGAATGCAACACTCTGGGAGTTTGCAAAAGACCGTCAAGGAGTCCTGGGAAATAGAATAAGGTGCAAACCACGTCACAAACCATGCATGCTAAGTAGCCATAGAGCTATATGCTGCTGCTAAAATCAAAGAAAGAGAGAGGCACTCCACGCACATTTGGAAAGAGTAAAAACGATGACTGCTCATCCCATCTTCGTGATGATCCGACTCTCTCAGAAACGCAAGCTTGTCTGTGCAAAACACACACACGCGCACACGCGCGATTAGAATCATGTTCTCGTCCACTTTGGATCTTACCACCAATGACTTCTACGGACGTCGCGGGGTGAAAGATCTCTCGACCTCTCCCTTATACGCTCGCGAGAAGGAGACCTTGATCTGTAGAACCAAAACTTAGCACAAGAAAGCAAACGAGAACTTACCTCCTGCGACCACGCTCCCTCATGTATCCTCTATCTCTATCTCTTTCTCTTTCTCTGTCACGGTAAGATCTCTCCCTGCGTTCTCTGCGATCATTTTCTCTCTCGTCGGGCTCCTTGCTTGCCAGAGCCCGTTCTCGAGCCCTGCTCCACAAGCACACACGGTTAAGCTCAGCCTCGAGACGCCAAAACTACACTCCTACTTTTCTTCTGCAAGTTTCCGCGCCTTTTCTTTTTCCTCCTGCAGTTAAAGTTGAAAGGCCGAGCTACTAGCAATCATCCGGAAGATTACCCGAAGTTCGCCGAGCTTTTCGCGGATGCGCATGTATCCGAGGTGAAGCTTTCCACCGAAATGATCAGCGAGCCGTCGATCACTGCATGACATGAAATGAGAATTTGACAGGAATACCACATCAAACTACAGTACCTGTCGTAGATGCTAAGATATGCTCCACATATATCACAAACACGTAGCTTCTGATCAGTCTGTAAACTATCACGGATTAGCATAACCACACAAGTTAGGAGTATCAATATACGAACAGCTCGTGCGTCCTGTTGAAGCACCTTGTTTGGGTCCGGAGCCATATCATACCTCGAGACAAGCTGTGCGGCATATCAGATTCTTAGCCTGACACTTATTGCAAATATTCTCGCAAGTGGTACCTTTTTCAACGCTTCTGCCTCTTCCAAGGTCTTTTGCGCTTCATCCACCAAGCCTTGCTCACCTAGATCACATCCAAACCAGTGAGGAAAACACAACAATCTCTAAAAGAAATATATTTACCCAACACTTCTGCTTTGTTCAGCTTCTCCTTGATCATATCCTGGGTCCTTGCATCGGGAGGAAAAGGCATATATGGAAGAGGAGCCAGTGGAGGCGCATTTCCTTGCAAAAGTAAAGCTCTGTCCTTGTTGAACGCTTCTAGAAGAGATAGAGCCTGAGAATAAAAACAATGACATTCAAAAGGAAAACAAAATTTTGAAAAAAGGAAGAAAGCATACTTGTCTGTCTGCTCTCGTGGATCTAAGCGCCTCCACTTCTCCCATCACTCTGATTTTATCATCGGTTTTCCCCTCCAGCTCTAAAATGGAAGAAAAATGTTAGCTAGCATCCCCAGGATCATCAACTCTCACCTAGATTTTCGGCGATTCTAAGCTTCTCTTTGATCTGTCTTGTGTATTCGAGTGCTTCCGAGGACTGCCACAGTGATGCGAAGATGAAACTCTGAAACCAACAAAGACGATCAACGCTCACCCTGGTCACCTCCGACACTGCAATAGCAGTAGCAGCATTCACATCATCCTCTTCTATTCGCTTCAAAGCACGCTGGATCTTCCTGTCACACTCCAAAACGTGTTTCTCCAAGCATTCTTCCAGCTCTCTATTATAACACTGCTTGGTCTGCTCGTTATACCTGAGAACACATCGTAATGAGGAAAAAACGAGAGCGAAAAAATTGATCTACTCACTCTTTTCGCAGTTGCAAGGAATGGATCTTTGGGCAGACGCCTAAATCCATTCTCTGTGGAAAACCAGATGCAATAACATCTAGCGCTGTGGATTCTGATCGATGATTACCGTGAGCTGGAAGAGATCGTGAGGACAGAGGCCAGCAAGGTAGAGGCGACAGACATCCCGATCGGAGAACTTGCGCTGCACTTCCTGGACATCGCCGTTGCGATTGGCGCCCATGAGGGCGTCCAGCTGCTTCCGGAAGGAATCCATTGTCGAGCCCTAAAACATAAGCAATCTATTTAAATTAATGAGTCTCAATGAATCTAATTAGAAAAAATATTTAATCCATTATCTCAGAATTAAGAATTTTTAATATTACTTATAAGGATTTAGAATATTTTTGGATATTTTAATTTTCCACACCCCCAGCTGGACTTCTAGTGCATGGGCTATTGACTAGAGTTTAGCCTTTAGGGAAAGAAAACAACTCATGTTGTGCAATTGAAAACTATAAAATTCCCAATGTTAGAAAAAAATGTACGTAGTCACATTTAAATTATGATATCATCTATTATTTTTTTGAATGATTCAATGATTCAATTCAATTTACAATCCATAAAGCTGTAAAGCTTAGCATAGACAAAATTGCACAAAGTATTGTAAAATCTTGTTGTGAACAATCAATGAGTGACTTTTCTAGCAACAAGTATCAGCACCTCCTCAAGCCACATTGGAAGTGATTGTTGTTCCTCTCGTGAAAGTTCTTTGCTCTAATCTAGCAGCTTGAGAACATCCAAGATGCCGACTTGTGTCATTCACAAGCTCATCACGGTGTGTGGCTACAAGACGGTGGTCAAGTTCTTCCCTCACCAGCCATCAGAACTCGAAGTATACAGTCGCCCTCACTGCCTTGGGGTACCTGACAACGAGCACAGCATCTTCGTCGCCTCTCGTCTAGAAAATGCTGAACTTCTGCAAGCAGTTCTTGTCATGCTCTGGTCCTGTTCGCGAAATGGCTGGAGTCGTTCTGTCCGGGCTTTTGACGCAGCCAGATATTCATTCTCATGTTCTCGGGTACGAATAAGTTCTTGTAAATGATCGTAATTAGCTTGCGTTCTTCTCGGCGCATTCATGGCCCGATGCACTGAAAACATCCCAAGACAGCTCTACTGGAGTTTTTTCTTATCCCTGGTACTGTCAATGCACAGGCTAGAATTTTTAAGTTGAGATGTTCTTGCTGTCCCCTGCGTTAACGCATTCTACGCAGGTCGGGGATCGTATCATTCTTCTGGAAATTGCACCTGTTGCATGGAAGGAAGTGAGTACGCTATCTGACTCGCCCGTTGCAACTCGCAGTCCTTTGCTACGGAAGCTTCTCATCAAGCTTAGTCAGAGCATCAGCCTAATGTATTTGCCTCGGAAGCTAGCGGCTTCCGAGGCATGGTTCGTGACAAGTTATATGCAATCAGATTTTACTTCTGTCTATCTTTTGCAGCTTGGCATGAAGTCTCTTTCCCAAAATCTGGAGAAAACAAGCAACGTGCTGCCTGACGATGCCTCTGCCCCCACCGCTGAACAGAACGAGGATGGCTGTAACTTCATGGTGGTTGTTAGAAAGAGAAGGAACTCAAATCAGTCTCCAATTCGAAATAAATAAATGCACTTACAAGATGGACACTTCTCCACCACCAGATTGCATGCAGACAGCCTCACTATCGGGAGAGCTTCCCACCTTCAGCACATAGAAATACAAATCTGGGAGCAAATGAAAAACTTTCACCTTGTGACTCTAGGAGTGGCGCACTTCGCACTGTTCACTCCAGCTTTCAACAGCATGACGTCTTGGCAATCTATGTGATCTATCAACTTCTTGGATGGTTTGCGTTCTCAGTGTGGTTGATCAGCTTCTATCCGCAAGTGCTGCTCAATTGTCGGCCAAAGAGGCACGCATTGATCACCGCTGGAAGAAAACTATTCCTATTCCTCGATTTTGCGTTTTGCTTTCTTTTCTCAAGCTAGTTTTCGAATGTTTGCATCGTCATGGGACTTAACTTCGATTTCCAGGTGCTGAACTTCACCTAGCATTCCTTATATCTCATTTACAATGCGGCCGTCTTCTTCAGCCCTGTTGTTCAAATAGAAGTACAGCACCAATGAGGTGTGTAATTGAGTGATAGACGAAGAACTCTGAATCCTATTAACTTTCTAGATGATTCCAGTTGCTCTAAATGACATTGCTCTCTCCATCCACAATTCAAAATGATTTAGTGCACTTTACATGTACTAATGCTTGGTTTGTTTAATAGTAGTGCTTATTATTTATTAATCTAATTGATAGTGCAAGTTTCCTCTATGAGGTAAGAAACAAAAGCTAAAGAGAAAAAGGTGACAAGCTTATAACTTTAGTGTCAATTTAGAGAGGAAAAAGGGTGTCTATATGTTATAATGAGACCCCAATTAGGGTGTGACTTCTCACTTGCTGAGATGCAACAAAAATTCTTATATGGCACTAATGTGTACAAAACCACGCAAACATGGCATGCATGCCAATGCATACTTATGCATTTGAAAAACATTTGTATCCAAACATTGATTTGTGAGCTACTTGTCTTGAAAAGGTGGAGGATGTGAACCATGTTGTCAACAATTGTCTGACATATAAACAATCCCTTAGGGCTCTAACCATGTCATTGTTGGTAGTACAAAATGGACAATCCAACTATATGAATTCTTACAAGAGATGGACTTCATATATCAAAACAAAGCTGTGTGATCAACATAAGTTCTAGAAAAACTACGCAATGGATCCAGAGAGCCACTTCAACTTAGCCGATCCAATCGCACAGTGTTCGTCAAGCAAAAGCTCCATGGAGATGTCGTGTGACAAACATCCGAGATAAAACTTAAGAAGGAAACAATCCGCACACCATTCCCTCAATTTCAAACATTGTTCTGTGGACACAGCTCTCACTATGAAGGAGCAAGTTCCATTGGGATGAATTGGAGCCCGTATGGAGCTAATAGGAAACCATTTATGATGCACTGGATTGACAAAACTTGATTTTAATCATATTCCTTCATTTAAAACAGTAACTCAGCATCTAGGCACATATTCAATCCCCCAGATTAAAACACGTGCCTACGTTGGTAACGCTTCAATTTTGATTTTAGTGGCGCTTCTTTCTTAGGACTGCTGGTCTATCTCTCTATTTATCCCTGCATTTTAGTGCTGTTCAGCCAGCATCAGATCAAGATTGCCTCCTCCTTATTGCGTTAATGGACTTGATGTCCTCTGCAAAGAAGTAGCGAGCATAGATTTTCACATTCAAGTGGTAAGAAAGCTTCTTGGTATAATTCCTTCTTTCTTTCCATCCATCCAAGATTTTTGAAATCTGGCAGGAACCACGTCTCCTGAGAGTCTCAATATGAAGTTTGCAGCAATGGTAACACGATACTATAGTGTTACAAAACCTTCTTGCTGGTTTTATACCTAGCCATGTAAGTCAATGTACAAGAATGTTCCAAATGGTGTGACCTTGACAGAAAAGGTGAGCATAAAAGTTTCAGACCGGAACTGGTAGGCAAGCTCTCTCAATAGCTCAATGCTAATTATGGTCACAACAGACATTTTTCACTAATGAAATCTTTGAGCGCATCTAGGCTTAATATGCAAGAATACTATAATAGGAAGTTACGGCTCTTCCTCACTGTTGATTGGGTGCTGCTGCAAATCTGGATGGGCATATTCTTAGTAAGTATATAAAAGGTTTTCTCTGACTCAAGTTTTTAGCAGTGGTCCGAGAATTTAGACCAAAGAATGATCAGGCAAAAAAATGAAGAATCATGAATTGCAACACATGAAAAACCATAAGTTGGATTTTAGAGAATCCTATTTAAATAATATTCTCATGATTTGATATGGAAGAGTACTCTGGTCAAAGATGGTAATACTTCTTTCTTACTTCTGTCCAAACGTAATATTATCACCATCTTCGCAAGCACCATTTAGAATGCGGAGGGTTAACTCAAGAATATTGGGATCTGTGCTAATGTAAAATTTAGGTCAATTGATTTGCAAATATAGATTAATGACTTTTGACTACAGTAGATAGAACACTATTAGTAGTAGAACATGATGCTTCTGATACATGTCATGTTGGGAATATACATCTTTAATCTAAAAAGAAAGGAGAAATTATTAAATATTAAGTCTTAGTCATAATTTTTTATTTTCATTATTTCTAATGGAACTGGCAATAAATACTGAAAGAAAAGAAAAGTTAAAATCCATCTCATTTGCAGTAAAAATCCATAGTCGCCTGACCATAAAGGCAATCAAGGATCAACGAGTTGGAACTCCAGCAAGTTCCTTTATTACAGGATGTAGTGCACTTTCCAGATGCCCGAAGTGCTCGAATCTGGGTGCCAATTCGAAATCCCCACTAATTCCACTAATGTCCCACATCGGCATCTCCTCAAAGACTCTCCTCACGGCTTCCAAATTCCCACACTTCGCAAACATATTGATGTCCAGGGGAGTGTCCTCGGGTAATCCGTGATCCAGGATGATCCCGAGCAATATCCGCACCTGCGCGATGGATGGGATGCTTGCGATTCTGCAGGCGACACTAAAGAATGTGATGTTTTCTGCATGGCGCGGAAGAGCTGGAGTGGTGCGGAGTTTCAAACATAAGGAAGAGTTTATGAAGAGAGGTTCTTCCATTCCAATCCTAAGAAATGCTGCTCACACACGGATGAAGTGGATGACGAAGAAAAGAAGGATAGAGTTGCAGGACGAAAAAGGAAGTAGAGCCTCAAACTTGAATTTACACTTAAAGCTCCACTACATCAACCATTACCCAAAGGGTAACAGTGAGGAAGAGGAAGAGATTTGGGTGATACTAGAAACACTAGAGGTGGAGACAGATATTGGCTGCCAAACACTGGAGAAAATCATTTGTAAAGCTTATTTAAATCCCTCTGTAAGATCATACAAATAAAATATGAACGAAGGAATGAATGAATTTATCTTGTAATATAATTGAATTCTCTAGCATATTAGTACACTTCCCCTGTTGGGGAGCTATAATATGGTGTGCAATTCGTAAAAGGGTGGATTTTACAGCAGTGGATTTCACTCACACCATGTGTATGGCTGCTATTGGTCCACGTGTATTATGAGTGTGAAAAAAACATAGGTATAGAATATTTTACAAATATCCAATCCTTATGCCCCGGATGGGGCATCATGCCCATAGCAATAACCCGTGCTA